CCATCAACCCCCCCCTCCCCTTTCCCCCCCAATCAGACCCTGTGATAGCCATCAGCTCCAAGCATCAATCACCACAGTCAGCGCCCGGCATTAACCCTTGATTAAATAAGCCTTAGTCACCAGCCCCTTTAGTCCAAGCCATCAGTCCCCGACATTAGCCATCAGTCTGCAGCATTAGCTATCAGTCCCTGGCATTAGCCTACATTAAGAACTACCTGAATATTAGACACCGACCTATGCAGAGAAAAAAAAGCATTTGGAAAGAGATACGTGGTGAAGGGTGATCCAAAAACAAAACAAAAAAAGATGTTCTGAAATTGAGTTAGAGCAGAGTGTTATATCTGTTGACAAATGAAATAAATAGTGGTCAACATCAAAAGCAACAGGATTTAAAAAAAAATCATGCACATATGTTTTATGAAAAACAGTTTTAGTATACCAGTCGAGTTGTTCGTAATCTTCTTTTGACCTAACCAGGTGGCCTTTCCTGGAAGTTGGGAACATGACAAACATGAAAAACATTCATCAAAATGTATTTAACTAAGTGCAAATTCAATTCTCTCCTTTTGATCTATCAAGGAGAGCCTTCATAAAACTTTTTAAAAACATGAAATGAAAAAAAAAAAATCCAACATTTTAAACTAAAAACAGAGAAATCAGGCACACATTACTACAAGCTGTAAACAGTAAACACTCGGTTTAGTTTTTTAGTAAGAGTACTATGGCACTTGCAACATAAAAAGACCACATAAGTGTCGAAGACTAAACGTGATACAAGAGAGTAACAAACACAAAAAAGGAGGAGAGATAAGAATGACTGATTTTTTATGAGAAATAAGGAGCATTAATCACTCAAACAAGTTTTAAAAAACAGGTTAAAATGATCACATGAAAACGCACACAGTAACTGTCAGACTGAAACATCAGTGCGTGCTCGGTACGAAACAAATTTGTCAGTGGCCAACTGTTAAAACGTGGAGGAATGTTGTCGAGGGTACCATCACCAAACTTTGAGGGTATTGGAATCTGATATTATGTAATGTGTGGCAAGTTGTTATATTTGAAATGGTTTATGTTACGTATGCTCATCAATGCACTCTTTTCCGAACAGTGATAATTAAAAAAGGTATACTTCTCTTTCTTTCTTTTTTTTTTGCAACATAAGAGAGGCAAAAGCATTCACATAGCAGGATGAACCAGCAGACAAATCAATAAAGGCAATAGTAAGTTTAAAACATCAACATTTCAAAAGAAGGGATACAGCAGCTATGCACACAAAACAAATCTGCCTGCAGCTACAACTCTAGTGGAACATCAATACAGCAGGAACATCTCAAAACAAAACAAAATAAATCCAAAAACCAGATGGGTGGGCTATGAACAACAACAACAAAAAAAGCAAAATGTAGACGCATAAATCCTTTCCCATTGCAAACATTAGCATCCAACCTTCCAACACATAAACAAATCATTACCATCAGTTAGAGAAGTAAACTTATCATTACTTTTACTGTTTACTTTTTCATTCTCCTGAGCTATGAGAGTTGAGGTAAGATGCAGTTTTCTGTGGTAGGCCAACTCTGTTGTTCTTTCAGATAAGGTGATATAGTTTTTATGGGTTCCCGCCACTCCCTAAATCCATCGTTTGTGTGGCCTACCTCTTCCATTATAGCCAGAGTACTTTGTTCTATAGGCCCTCAAGGCTAGCTGATTAGGTAGCACTCGTAACAGGTGGCCAAATCATTTTATTGTTTTCTTATGAAATACAGTCAAGACTCTGTGCCAATAGTTGCTCTTACATTTTCATTTCCCTTCACTTCTTGTGACGTTTAGGGTTTTGTGGAGACATTTCATCTAGCATGTGGTGATTTTACTTTTATCGGTTTTACTTAATAAAGTTAATCTCCATGTCTGGCACTGGAAGCACAATGTTGGTATAAATATTGAAGTGATGAACTATGTCTATGTGCCCATGGCGATGATTGGGTGAGATAGAAGGGGTGCGAGCTGATAGATGACAATATTGATTTTGTGAGTTCCTATTTCTATTTCTCTATCCAGGGACCTGTTTTCAGAAAAAAATGCTGACAAGACATTTAAACTGCTTGACTTGTTTTAGTTGTTTGTTATTGACATAAAAAATCATTACAATCAGTTAAAGAAGTAAACAAATCAGTAAAAGAAGTAAACAAATCATTACCCACTGTCAGTAAAAGAAACAAATTGTAGCAACTACCCTCAGAGAAAACCTTTACAAGGAAGCAACAACATTCATTAACCTAAGTGAGGCGACAAACACATCCAGCACTATTGAGAAGCCTTTATTACTCCTAACTTATCTTTTTCCCCCTAACCATTTTTCAACTCCATTCAACAGGTTATCTTATCACAAAACTCTATTCTTTAACAAACAAAATCTCCAAATGTGTATCTTGGTGACATCAGGTACTCGTTAAAATAATGGAATCAAAGATACCAACATTATTCCACCCGTAGGTAAATCTGTATTTTAAAAAAAAATTTTTTTTGTCTCAACACCTTTTACGTACTTTTAAAAACACATTTCTATTTGGATTTTACAGAAAAACATTGACCAAAGCACAACAAATGCATATTTGTAGTATCCAAGGACACTCAAGCTTTGGAAATCACCAAGTTTTGGATGCCATTTTCTTGATAATCCTCTGACATCAGGTGACTCCCATCTCCTTCAATCGCAGATATCTCATTTTCAATTTAAGATGGATGGGTATTTTTTTCATCAAAAGCAAGACCAATGAACAAGCTTTAGAATGATGCCAATAACTCCAAATTTCCAGAAAACTGACAAACCACGAATTCCACCATGTCATGACACAAATGTTCTGAGACAATTCCCATTGTCGCTTCTAAGTCCCTATAATGACTTGATCCCTGGGGACATGATTTCTGTAGCTAAGAAAAAGACTCTAAGATACCCACTCTACTGGCAGAATAAGATGGGGACCAGGACAAAGAAAACTTACATTTCCCTCCACGCACTGAAATCCCACATCCCTACCCTTTGCTGACCATTTACCTTGTCAATACTTTTCAACATATGTGGGTCAAAAAGACCAGACCATGTCAGAGATCTGAAGCACAATCCTATCAAAATACAAATCTTGTTCCTAAAAAGTCTGTGTCTCTGTCTCACCCTCTGGATGTTGGTTAAGGTAAAAGGTCCAGTCTCTGTCTTACTTGGGGGTTGGTAAATGTATACAGGTAAAGTCTAGAAGCTCTGTCTTCTATAGAAAAACTTGAATGTTAACAAACGTAAAAACACAACAGTCTCTGCTTCTATGGAGAGTCCCAGGTGTTGGTGAGGGTAAAAAAGGCTAGTCTTCGACATCTAAAAAGGGACATGGGTGTTGGTGATGTTAAAAAAGGTTATAATCTCTGCTTCAACAGGATGTTCATGAAAGCAAAAAAGTTTATGATCTGTTTTATCTCACTGTTGGCTATAGGTGAAAGTAAAAAAAAGTCTAATAATCTCTGTCTACCCTAGGTGTTGATGAAAGTAAAAACTTCTATAATCTTTGTGTCACCTAGGTATTAATGAAGGTTAAAAAAGAGTTAAGACTCCGACTCACCTGGGTATAAGTTTGTTTGAGTCGATGCTCAGCTCCAATAAACCTAGAAGTACGGCTGACACATCCAAGTAGGGCTCCCACACCGTAAAGCCTCGACCAATCAGATCAATGGCTGCTCGTCGAATGGGTGTGTGCAGGGGTAGACGAGGGCTGGGGGGCTGGAGCAACAGGAAGGTCAAGGCCTTGCCTACAGAGAACAGAAGAAAAAAAAGGTTGCATGATAAGGTCAAGTCTTTGCCTAAACAAAATAATTTGATTAGAAAATCAACATAGGAAAGTTGGATCTTTGTCTAAGCACAATAGGGATGGAAGGTAATGTACCAAACACACATTACTTTTTTTGCTAGAGCAAAAAGTGTTACCCAATGGCCAAACTACAAGACAGAGTACTTGGCATCGACACAGGAAAAAACGACGATGAAAAATATTTCAGAGAAATATTCTGACCTGTTTCATTTGTCTTATTGAACACCAACACCTTCAACTCCCCCCTCCCCCCCATCTTTCAAAGAAACACTTCCCCCCCCTTATATTGTTTAGACAAACGAAAAATTACTGATGTCATTCCAAGTTACTTTGAATCAACAAGCACACTTTTGACAAAAGTATCTACTCAAACAAATATGAATTTAACAGAGGTGAACTTATTCTACGTCACTGATTAACCACACAGCCATGAAAGCCTTCCATATGAAAAGATAGATCCCAGATTTATTTTACTTGTTCAGGGATGCCCATTTCAACAGGCCTTCTAATTAAAATTTTTTTAAAAAGTTTATAAAGGTAACTAGCAGACTGACTGGTATGCCTGGCGAGGGAGTAGTTGGTGAGGCTGAATCCCTCCACCGATCCCTTGACCTTGACCTTCTTCTGCTCCTCGGAAGCCTTGGTCCTACTAGGTTCCATCTCCTGGCCAAACTCTGCCCCAATCACGCCCAACATCACAATGGCCGTGGCTTGTTTACGGCGACTCTCAAACGACACGGACAGCTTGTGGGCTGGAATGTCACCTGAAGAAGCAACATGAAGCATATCAGACTAACAGCTTGGCTCTTTAGCCAAAGTACAAATTTCAGAAGCAAATCCTCAGCTACGGACAAAAAGCCCTAGCTCTGGACAGCATCAAAATATTTATGTCGTGTTGTAAGATAAGAACCGAAAGCTTGTAGTCAAATTTACAACAGACCTGAGAAGGGATAGGACAAGGATGGCCTTAATATATTTTTTTACTTTGACACTTTTTCTACAGAGTGAAACAATATAACGGGCAATACAATCGACAATTTTCAAAATAATTGTATTGCATAAATTTTAGAAAGTATAACTTGCACAAAAAATAAAAAGCAAAATGTCAGCAAGATTCTAAAATGTCATAAGCCCAGAATGCAAAATTTTTCAGGGGAAAGAAAAAACTTTTTATTCTTTTAAAAATTGTACCAACTGTCCACAATGCTGTATATTCAAGAGAGGACGGCATGGTGAAAAAAACAAAAACAGAAATAAACTGACTGATAAATGGAGACCAGCTGAGTCATGCCAAATTTCTTTGGGGAAAAAAAAGAAAAACACTAAGTCAATTCACAGAGAAAAAAAAAGACAATAAAATGTCCCTTTCACAGTTTTGCCAAGCACCCACCAGCCAAAATTCCATCTTCTTCATCATCATCTTCCTCCACTGCCTCATGATGTCCTCCCATGTTGCTGAGAAGAGAAAGTTCTGGGTCCACATAGGAGGGGAGGAAGGGAGCCCACTTGTCCAGTAGGACCTTACGCCCCTCGGGGTTGATACGTCGTAGCTCGGCTAATAGCAACGCTTGGGCTGCCTCACGGATCTGAGAGGTGTCAGGCAATGGGACAAATAAATCAGTTGTTTTGGGCATTACAAACATCAAGTCAAGTTTGGACAGGTTTAAGTGGATGACCATAAAGTATTTTTAACACTTACCAAACCAAAGGCTCATACAGTCAAAAACCCTCAAGTACCGCACCAGTTTATAGAGCGATGAAGCCATTGTAGAATTGTTTTTAAACGTAACTCTCCGAGGGGCCCTTCTTCGGTACTAAATCTAAAAATGACAAAAATGTCACTAAATAGGTCATTAAATTACAACAAGTGAACCTATTTTGATAGCTCTTCATCTAATGAATGAACTCCCGATAAAAGACACCAGTTTCCGAAAAGTAATTTGATGTCCAAGACATCGTAAAGGGATCTCACTGGCACAGGGGTTTCGACCCCAAGCCGCTGGGAGCGGTCTGCCGGAGATAAAGAGTTAAAAATTCTCAGAGGTTCATCAACAATTCAGTGCATACTATGTCTGGTGATTAAAGTCACTGAAGGTACTGTAAGTGTTAATGCAATGGACCTAAGCAATTGACTGAGCATACTCTATTCATGAACATAAAGTGTTGCAAACTAATATGGACCTAGAACATGACTGAGCATACACTCTATTGAAAATAATAAAGCGTTATTAATCGTATGGACTTAGCACATGACTGAGCATGCTGTGCGACAAATCCAGCGCCAACCCAAGGAAACTCAGGCGACCAGGGCTTTAAGGGTTTAAAACGGGAGTAAGTATGAGTTTTTATTTATTCATTTTTTTTTTTTTAGTGCCTCTGGTTAACTCCGTGATATAGAAATTTGATGATGTCCGAGCTACCCAACAAATCTGTCAACAAACTTAAAGACATTGTTGTAATGCTATACAGACACTGACTAGAAATAAGAAAACAGTTTTAGAAAGAAGGCTTGCAGTAGCAAAACAAAAATCAGCAAGGACAAAGACAGGGCAACCCTGAAAATTCCATTTGAAAATGAGTAAAAAGATTAAACATTTCAAGGCCTGAGCTCTTTAGAAGAAACCTAAAGGCTACAAAAACCCCCGATTCATTTTAGGTAAATGAGCCAGTCGATAATTGAGAGTTCTAAAACTTGATGATCTCTCAGGCTATGAGCACAAGTGTTTAGTATATACAGAAAAGGGAGAAAAAAATTCTTTAAAAAACTACTAGATATTTTCGGTGTTTTTGCAACTGCATAAGGTCATATGAGCGCCAAAACTAATCAGTTTGGAGTGCTACTCATTGTGCAGGCCTAAACTTTATGAATTTCGTATGTATGGGTAAATGAGAGAGAGAGAGAGAGACAGAAAGAGAGAGAGAGAGGGAGAGGAGGAGAGAGAGAGAGGAGAGGAGAGGAGAGAGAGAGAGAGAGAGAGAGAGAGAGAGAGAGAGAGAGAGACAGAGAATAAAAAGAGAGACAGAGAGAGGGAGGGAGAGAGAGAGACAGACAGACAGAGAGAAGGAAAAAAGAGACAAACAGAGATAAGACTCACCTCCAAACATCTATCCTGCCAGCGTCTTGCCAACATCTCTAGCTGAGGACACTGGTAGATTGTGGGGCCCACCAGCTCTGGCAGCAGAACACAGTGCAGCGCCGCCAGCAGACTCCAGCCTTGTTTTACCTGATTGATGATATGCTGTGTATTATGTCATTATGTCATGCCGGTCAATTACTAGAGTGTAACATACAAAGAAAAGAAGAGAGAGGGATAATGATGATAGACGTTTTTTTAAGAAGCAAACAACATCAGAGCATCCACCAACCACCCATGAACATCAGTGTTTGTGAGGAAGGAGTGTGTGTCTTGTGAGCATATTTATTATGATAGAACAAGAGAGATGGAGGGAGGGAGAAGATACAGAGACAGAGAGACAAAGAGAGAGAGAGAGATATGGAGAGAGGAAAAGAGAGAGAGAGAGAGGGAGAGAGAGACAGAGACAGAGAGAGAGACTGATAGAGAAAGTAGCATGTTGATGACAGCCCATCAATACCATTCCCTCTTTACCTGAGCCTGAATCGTAGCTTGAGCGTCAGAGGAGGTATCTTCACTCGATGTCACACTCTCTGGACTGTCTGTCTCCCGCAGCACCATGCCATGGTTTGAACTTACTGTTTCTTTCCTTGATCTAGGAACAAAAACAAAAAAAACTATGACTTCACATTGAACACAACTTGATGCCCATGTACCTCATTTCTTTATTGATAAGTTTCCCCCATGGACCCCCCCCCCCCCTTGTTCGTTTTAGTAAGAGTTTTAGGCCATTAGCAATACAATTAAGTCTTATAAGTGCTGAAGATTAGGCCTAGAGGTGTAGTTATGAACAAAAAAGAAGGCGAGATATGGATGACATATGTTTGATAAGATAGAAGGAACAAACCTCACCAGAGCACCTACCAACCACCCACTCAATTTATTTCGGAGTTAAAAGTAATTTTTCTCTCCTTGAACTGTACCAAAAAAAAAAAAAAAAATCACAAAAAGGTTAAACTGAAAGCTTCAACACTGGACCTATCAGGTATAAGTGATCCAACCTCTTTCAGCTTCAATAGTACACTGACCTGTGCATAGGAACTTGCATCTCTGGCAGAAAAGCAGCCCGACTCATGCCCATTAGTGTGTTGGCCACAGAGATAACACTCAGTAGATGTTGTGTGGTCACAGCACTGGAGATTTGCCACCGTAGCTGGGGACAGTTAATCTATATATATTATACTAGTGAAAGTCCGTCACTTTGGTCGCCTAAAACTTCCGAACCACTTAACTTTCAAATTTGAAAAAATTAACGATGGTTCAGAATCATCTAAAGGGTGCTCAATTATATTATATTAAGGAGTCTGAAGTCAGTGTAGTTTAATTTTCAGTTTTTCATTAATTTAATTTAGATCCAACCTTGGGAAAGTCCGTCTTCTAAGATCTCCATTGTAAACAAGTGAGGCTTCCGTTCACAAACAGTGCGCACTGATTCCACAATGACTTGATGATCGATTCTTTTGTCCGTTCATCGAACGGGAACCCAGCCAGTGACATATAAGTGAGGTGTGCTGACAAAACGAGTTACTTCTACGATGATAACTCTAAGTAAATACATACATCGTCGAATTTATGGGTGGAGTTTACACAATTTATACATATGAAATAATAAGACATTATTGAACTTGAAAAAAAAAATGGCATCAAATGAAAATCTACAAATTTGACCCTAGTGTTGATTTTCAGCCGATATCTTTATTCATGCATGAATTGTGAGAAGTAACCCAATTTGTTAGCACACCTCACATATAATGATATACTAAGGAGGTTGGTGATGAAATAGAAGCTTCAATATCTGCTCTCTCCATGAGAGGAAAGGGGAAAAGAGAGTATGAGCCCTGGGAGAAACTTGAATAGGTAACAAAAGCTAATAGAAGAATAATCATACACTATCAAACATTAAGAACATCAATTTGGCACCCCCAAAAAGCACTCAGACATTTGTTTGCTCTCAACTTAAGGTCATGAACAACTTTTAACAAAATCAAACACTGTCATAAGGAACTTATTCTCAAACCTTAGTGGAGAAATCATAGGCTTGTTGCTGGTTTGAGCCCAGACTAGATGTTCTCCTGGCATTGTTAGCCGGACTGGCCGGCCTGACAGATGATACTTTGACCGCTTGACCCCCTGGCGCCCCTTTGTCTTCTCCTCCGACAGCTGCCTCATCATTGTCATGGTCACTCAACTTGTCCACTTCAAACGGTGCTTGGCCCGTACGCTGGGTGAGTAGAGTTGGCAGCTTTGCAGAAGGGCCTGGTGACAATGATCATGACAAAATGTAATCTTTTACATCACTCATAATTTTATCTACAAAAGTGTCTTCCACAGGTGATATTATGAAGAAGACAAACACCACTATCAGTTCACAGAAGAAATACTTGCACTACTCTCTGGAGATATGCTCAAGAAAAAACAATTTCTCTAAAACTCAGCAAAAAGAAGAATGAAAGCTCAAAATATTTCAGACTATTCACCAAAACTTGAAAAATAAAGCCAATACACAACTGAAACCCTTCAAAAGATTTGTTGGTTTCTGCATACCCTCATGTAACCCTAGTAGAAATCAACTATGTAAAGCAGCAGCACTAACTGATGGTTCCTCATCCATGTACTTTTCATTACTCAGAGAAATAAATAGGAGAGTTGGCTGCCATTCTAGAAACTGTCTTGTATTGTTTTAGTAAGCGTTTTTTGGCACTTGCAATACAACACAATTAGGTCATATAAGTGCCCAAGATTAGAGGTGTTACAAGAGAGGGAAAAACATTTTAAAAAGGAGAGAAAAAGACGATAGTTATTGAATAGGAAAGAAGGAGCAAACCACATCAAAGCACCCGCCAACCAACCACCTCTCTCATAAAAAATTGAAGCCTCTTATGATATTTTTTTTTTCAGACCACACAAAAGGGTTATTGAGTAAAAGATAATTTAGTTGTAGAAATAGATACAGCCTTCTCTGTCCCATCCATTCATCAATCCCAGATTTGAAACATTTTGTAAGGAAACATTAACACTTTGATCTATTCACAAAACCCTGAACAAAATCAATAATAACATCACAATCCATCCATCAACCTCTGAAGAAAAGAAAAGAAAAGATCAGTATAACATCCCCCCCCCCCCCCCAAAGTCTTTATGCATCATGAACATCTATGCCAACTGTTTTCTTTCCTGTAAGAAGACATAGCTGTTATGTCACATTAACCCCTGCATCTGTCCATCTGCACACTAGGGCAAGCACATTCGAAGAAGGGGAAGGGGGGAAGGGGGGGTGGAACAACATTTTTTTTAGTTTCAGGAAAAGTACCTGTACTGGCAACACAATAAGGTGATACAAGAGCTGAAGATTACAGGTGTCACTAGATAGTAACAACCATATAAAAGAAGTTTTAATTTAGCAAGAGTTTTACTGCGCTCACAACTCAACTACATAAGGTCATATGAACGCAGAGAGATAAACGACAATAGATGTTTGGTTGCAAAGAAGGAGAAAACAACACCAAACACCTTCAACCACCCATGAGCAACTTTGTTTTCACCCAAATCATCAACAACACCGTACCAGAAGCAGCAGCTGCCCCAAGGACGTCCTTGTGTGAGGTCTGTTGTCTGTGCCAGCCAGGCAGCATCAGAGACATGTGACCCCCGTGTGACAGGAGGCCGAAGCTGATGGGGCAGCGGGGTTTGTGGAGACCCAGCTTGCCCACGCACAGGTCATCCAGCTGGGGATCCAAACCCCAGGCATGTAGACAGGACATGAACAGCTCCCCGATGGCCATGCTCAGAGATTCCTGCAGGGAGAGTCATTGTAGCGATGGTAGAAGTGGAAATTTCCAAACCAGTGATGACACTGGGATTTTGAGAAAATAACTGAAAATTTACGAAATTGCATTTGTAAACAGTAAATAGACAAAACTAACATACGGTTAAAAAGAAAACAAATTATGAAAATAATTACCACTCTTTTTACTTTTTTCTTGTTTTATTTCAAGAAAACGACAAACATTGCTGGATGTTGAGGCGTATCGACACAATAACCATATAGGAGCGGGACAAAGGAAGACCGACAGACAGCGTAACAAATGGGAATGGAAAGAAGAAAGACCTACAAGTGGCCTCTTCGCACATCCTGCTTGCACAGCCCCAGGACAATGAATGAGGGCAGCTGAAAATCCCCCTTAGAGCATACATTGATCTATAACTACATGTAAGCTGATACAGTCTGGAAATTTCTGCGGGAAAGTATTAATCTATAAATACCTATAAAGTAGCAGAGTCTGAGAATCCCCTGTGAGCATAATTCGTCTACAATACCTGTATGCTGATATAGTCGGGCCTTTTGCTTGCTCGACTGCTGGCAGGCTGGGTTTGGATGGGTGCAGAGTTTGAGCTCCCAGAGCTGCTCACAGCTTCCATCTTAGACTGGATTTTCTGGCCCACAGTTTCTGCTTTCTCTTTGGCCTTGGCCAAGAAACCTTAGCAATGATCAAAATCATCAGGCATTAGTGCATGTTTGTATTTCTAATGAGTATCTCAAACTCAAGGAGCGTAACATGGAATGAAGACTGAACAAAACTGTAAACAGTTACATAGAAACATGTCCTATTTGCTTCACATTTTGATCTTAAAGACTACATGGTCACTGACAATTATTTCTTTGCAAGATGAAAAAACCCCCCAAAAAACAATACAATTTAGATAAATGTAACAGGTTATATGTAAAATAGCATTCCATACTGAAAAATAAGTGTCAGGGTACATTTTGGTCATAATATAATATCTGGGAGAACTCAACAATTGACACTGCATGTATTGTAAATGTGCTTCTCTCAGATAAAGTAAGAAGATATTATCACTGTAATAACAAAGTCTGGACTCCTTTTGCCACCACTCCTCAAACCAGCATCTCTGGTGTAGAAGTTATGCTCTTCACTGTTGCATGCAGGAGACCCGAGTTCAAAAACACATGATCTATTTTTAAAAAAAGTTTTAGTAGAGTTTTTACAGTGCTCGCAACTGCATAAGGTCATATGAGCGCCAAACATAATCTCTAATATTTAAATCCTTTGTGTTTCATGGCAAAATTTAATATCTTCATCCCTTCATCTTTTACTTATAAGTTATTCTTTACATGAAAAGAATAAGAGTCCCCATAAACTGCATCAGAAGCCATTACTCCCAGCTGTGTTGAGCAAGTTTATTGGTGTGATATCACAATATGTTTATTCTCCATCTGTTTCTATGAACTTCACGTTTCTAGGCATCATAACTGAAGCTCTGTTAATCATCTTTTCACACAGTTTTAACTTCATGTGTACTAGCAACAACACATCGTAATTTTCTTGCATTTCTTACCTCGTGACTTTGTCCAGTATTTTTTCCCTATACTGTTCAAACTTTTCTTCCGACTGTAAGCGTGACATTTTTTTCAGAGCCTTCACATTTATTAATTACTTCTTTATCTTAAAAATCCGAGAGTGCACATTGGTGTCTACATTTAAGACTAAGCGTGTACATAGGGTGCTCTACTCTATACAGAACTAACAGATCCATAGGCAATCAAAATGGGTTTATTGATTTTCCTATTGAAATTTTTCAAGCTCACATCATCCTTGATTCTATAAACATTGCTATTGTCATATTATCTAGTCAGTCAAGCATTTCTCAAACCAGTTAAGTGCCCCTCATAATAGCAACAATTATTATTGCACTAATATATTCGCATCAGACAACTTTTCACATAAAACAAAATAAAACCTGACTCATACTGTTTTCCAAAAATGAAAGTCTTTTGAATCTACGAACATTGATATTTCTTTAAAAGACATTTAAAATCTACCAATAATGGCATGCAAGGCTGACAACCTTTCTTTTAAAAAAGTCAAAGTCAAAAGCATTTCTTTCCACACTCCTCTGTTGATTAACAACACAAATAAAGCACCAGAAATTAATTTCAAACCAGATTTTAAGACCAATGCCATGAAAAAGAGCAAGGCAATAAAGCTGATAAAGGCATGTTATAATAAGCAAAACAGCAATAAACAATTTTGAAAAGAGCTTAAAATAAACACAAGCAAGATTCATCTCTATAAATTACACCAATGTGGAGTGTGTTAGGAAACTGGACAGGAGATTTTGAGAATGGGACCCTAAATATTTTGTCTTGTCACTAGAAACACATGGCATCAAATGAATTAAAACATGACATTCTTAATTTGCTGCTTGCTGCCTGAAATAGTAATTATTTATTAAAAATTTAAAAGTACTTCTTAGTTGAAATATATTCCTGAAAATCACAACCACATGACAGTAAAAACATAGCAGGCGGGCTCAAAGTGGTAGCTCACTTCAGAAGCCTTTCATGAACGAAAAGAAGCAAAAACATTGAAGAGGAAGCGAATGAAATTTTTTGGGGACATAATCAGCAAGCGTATTGTAGGTTTATCGTAAAATGTTCCGACTCATGGTCCAATATTCGAGAACAAAAGGACAGAAAGCTTGACACTTCATTTTTTGTCTGGTTTTACAATTGAATTTATCCAGGCAGATTACTTTCTTTATCTAACATTCTCAATTTCATATTTATAGACTAACTACTAAAAAAAAGTGAAAAAGTGCAGTCATAAACTTGAAGCTGAACAGCTCCAACATTGAGTGCCTTATTTAGAAAAAAGATACACATCCTTAATTAATCAAATAAAAGACATTAAAAAGTGAAAAAAAGAAGGAAATACTTAGTGTTATAATAAAAGTGATAGAAATTAAAACTCAATTTACTAAATTCATTAAGGGAAGAGGAGGGCTAGAATAAAAAGCAGAGGAATTAAAATTTAGTGGGCAACTTTCTTTAAGCTATGTGTATCTTGCACAAACATTGTCTGACAAAAGACTGCTTTAAAATCTCAAAGATGAATTTCTTAAGAAAAGGGCCCTGACAGGATTATCATGGCTTACTTAGGATTTACTCTGTATTCAACAGAAGAATAGCAACGTGGATATATAAGACTTTTATGGCGGGGAAGAGGCAAGAAGCTGGACAATAAACAGGAAAAATCAAGGGGTTTGGAAGATGCAGACCCCGACTCTGACCCTTTCACCCTACCAATTTATAACTTCACATTACAAACTGCATGCACTAACAAAGTGAAGAGAAAACTTCAGTATTCTTGGTGGTGGTATAGCTTTTGGGGACAAAGATCAGTGCATAAAACGAGGGAATGCTGCAAATAAAACTGGTGGTCATGCAAGCAAATAAGATAGAGGTTCTTACATTATTTGGCACCCATGCTTTTAACCAAGATTCACAAATTCTAGCAGTGCAGGTTCAAATGTCTGAGGGTACCACTATTTTTATTCGGATCACTGTTTAACACACCCTAACTTTATCTATTACTTGTGAGGACGAATCAATGTGTAACAAGAGGTAGCCATAAAAAGGTGCGAGAAATCTAAATTGAAAAAATTGAGAAAAACTGGGATATCTGCGATGGAATCTGTAAGCAAAAGGCACTCAGCCTCACCACCAGAATCATATCCCTGTCCACTGACATCCAACACTGGAACACCTTCATTTGGGGATGGTGACCTATTCTCTAACGCAAATGTGACGGAACTCTTGGTGGTGGTGTAGGAGGATGTGTGTTTGGCGTGCAGTGGGAGGGTTTTGGCTTCACTCAGGACGCCCGGTGCACTAGGTGCTCGACGGAACTGCGGCTTGGTGCGGGGGGGAGGCTGGGGGTTGTCGTGCTGGAGGGAGAGCTGTTTCTTGAAGCCCGACTTCTTGAACAACTTGGATGAGGCAAACGGTCGGAAGGGGGAAAACTTTGAGCTGGACTGGGACCTATTTAGGACTTGGTGCTGGGTCCTTACAGGTGCACTCTGAGGGGGGCTAAAGTAGGACTTTACTGGGGAGGGGAGGGGGGAGGAGTAAAATTTTCCAGAATCCAAGCTCAACCCTCTACGAGTCAGGGATGGACCTTTGTGCTTTTTGACAGAAGCCTGATATGCTTGTGGAGGCAGGCCATAATATCCCCCGTCCACATCTTGTTCTTCCTCAAAAACCTCATCACAGTAACCCCCAGACAACTCATGAGGGTTAACAATCTCAAAGGAAGACACCCTGTCTAAAGCCTCAAAGCCAGCAGCTGTGAACAGAATAGCAGCATGAGGCACAACATGAGAACATGCATGACAACCTTTCAACTTTGTACACACAGTGTTTGGTGAGGACCCTTGAACTTTCTACACACATTGATTTGTGGGCTCCAACCAACTTTCTAGATACATAGTTTAATGAGAACCTGTTAACTTCTAGATGCATTGTTTGGCTGCACGAGAAGCTCTTCACTTTCTAGACATAATTCTTAACCTTCAGTGTAAGGGCCCCCTGACTTTTTAGTTTTAGTAAGAGTATTGCAGCACTTGCAACACAAATAAGTCATATACCTTGCAAATCCAAATACACAAAAAAGAAAAGAAAGAAAAAAAAAGAAAGAAAACAAATTAAGAAGGGAAGCTATAAACAGGCACCAAAGAAGGAACAAGAAGAAAAAAATTTGCGAGAAGAAAGAAGAGGTAGTGTAGAGTAGAGGCCCATAAACAATAGATAGCCATGGTAAGAAGCCAAATAACAACTTTCTGCTAAAAAGCATACCTAAATAACCACGAGTCCCTATGACATAGATATAAGGACCATATTTTACTATGAGCTACCACCAGCACTACCAAAAAAAAAAAAAGACAAAAAAAGAACCCACATCACACTGTATAGTTACAACATAACAGCAATTTAACACTGCAATACATATCAACACAACATAATAGAAACATGACGCTACATCATTTCAGAAGAAAAACGGTAAAAGTAGCCACCAGCTTTTATTTTGTCGGAAATAGTCTGTAGGTAAACTAAAATCAGATGTTTGAAGTGACAGATTGGTCAGGTCATATATCTATAATATGTAGAAACTTTGATCCCAGAATGTCTACTTGTTAAGTGTTTTGAAAGACCCACATTCAAAGATATTGAAATGGGTGGTGCCAACAGAACTGAACTTAGAAGAAAAGAAATTAAGTTCTTTTTCATCAAAACGAGAAGTTCTTTCCAGTGAGCGCACACACCTAAAGATGGGCAGTCACTGCTTAAAAAAATATCCACAATCAAAAGTGTAGAACTACTTCAGTCAAAGCTCAAGAAGGATAAAGATTGTAAATGTAAATAAAGTGAGATCATGTTTTACAGGTAAAGACACCGGTGTGTGTGTGTGTGTGTGTGTGTGTGTGTGTGTGTGTGTGTGTGTGTGTGTGTGTGTGTACGTGTGCCCGAGCGTGATGACAGGGGAATCATACACTTGAAATTTGAGGGCATATAGAGTTATCGGTATTATCTTAAAGCTTGATCATTTGTCTTGATTCTGATAAAGAAAACACCCATTCATCTTGGATAGAAGTCAAAATATTTGCCCCTGAAGGAGATGGTGGATGCCTGGTTTCAGAGGTGAAATTAGAGAAGAAATGGCTACCGAAGTTCTGTGATTTTTAAAGCTCGAGTGTCCTTGAAAACTGTAATTTATATTTTTTTGTGCCTTTGATCAATATTTCTCAGTAAAAAATGTTTTAAATGGTCATGTAAGGTGTTGTGCCAACGCCCCCCCCCACTGATTAAAATTGCCCAATGGGCAGAAAAAATGTCAGCGCCTTCAATATAATTATTTTGACAACCGCCTGATTTCACACACACATGCACACACATTATATCTCTATACATATATTCACATGCCACTAAACAATAGCAATAATGTTTCATTAATAAACAGCCAAAGAGTACTTCGGACAAAAGTGGTTGATTAGTTATTAGCAATACATGATTAGAGATTATCAGGCAGCCATGCATCACAAAACAACAAACAGAAATAAAAGCAGAGAAAAAATGGCTTGAACAAAGAGAACACAATGATCAGCTAGTATCTAGGCATAGGCACACAACAAAGATGTGGGAACACCAACACAATAACAGCTATCTAGCCCAAGAATTAAGAAAGACAGATTTAAAAACAAAAGAGGAAAAAAAGAAAATAAGTGGAACCTAAAAAAAGAATTCTGATGTTTTAATTTCCCTGACCAGAAGAGTAGTGGCCATGGTTCCAGAAGGCATTTACAATTTTAGCAGACATGGAATTACAGATTGTCCCCTATGGCCCAACTCTGTCAGGGCTATCAGACCAGATATATGACATGTGTTTACATGTCAACCAATGAGACAAAGCACCTCATGTATTGTTGTCTACTCTATGGGCGACATATTATTCATTTCATCAGTCACACATAAACAGTCAACTAAGGAATACTCACAGCAAGGCACTGAAACCATTTCACAAAGTACTGACATATCGATACAACTATTTCACCCAACACAAGGGAAGAAGATACTTATTGGAGTAAAGAGAAGCCAATCAACACAATGCCAGCTGTTTAGTGTCGGACAAAAGCAAGATAGAGAGAAACAAAAAAGGGACAGAAAAGAAGTAAAGAGAAATATATCGAAACTATATTATTACTTCCTTATGCAACGAGAACATGGAGGTCCCCCTCTCCCTCCTCTTCCTTCCCCTTCATGTCTTCCCCTCCTCTTCCTTCCCCTTCATGTCTTCCCCTCCTCCTCCTCACCATGACACTGTGAAAGACTCACCTGACAGTTTCTGCTGAGCCTCACTCAAGTCACTCTGTGCCGACAATGCCTTCTCCGGGACGTTCATGCCCCGAGCCTCCAGCTCAGCCGGCGACAGAAGGGCGTACTCCTCCGTGAGGAGATGAACTGAGAGTGAGAGATGATTGACAGACAGGTATACTCCTCCGAGAGAAGATGGACAGAGCTGATTGACAGACACGTATACTCCTCCGAGAGAAGATGGACTGAGAGTGAAAGATGATTGACAGACACGTACACTCCTCCGAGAGAAGATGGGCTGAGAGTGAGAGATGATTGACAGACACGTATACTCCTCCGAGAGAAGATGGACTGAGCTGATTGACAGACACGTATACTCCTCCGAGAGAAGATGGACTGAGAGTGAAAGATGATTGACAGACACGTACACTCCTCCGAGAGAAGATGGACTGAGAGTGAGAGATGATTGACAGACACGTATACTCCTCCGAGAGAAGATGGACTGAGAGTGAGAGATGATGGACAGACACGTGTACACCTCTATGAGGAGATGATGGAAAGATAAGTTCCTGCATGAAGAGATGGACTGAGTGTGAGAGATGATAATCAGGTAAGTATACACCTCTATGAGGAGATGATGGAAAACTACGTATACTCCCCTATGAAGAGATGGACAGAGTGAGGAGATGATGGAAAGCTACGTATACTCCTCTAAGAAGAGATGGACTGAGAGTGAGAGATGATGGACAGACGCAGACAAGTATACACCTCCGTGAGGAGATGATAGAAAGCTAAGATAAGTATACTCCCCCATGAAGAGATTGACAGAGAGTGAGAGATGATGGAACGAACAAGTATACATCTCTACGAGGAGATGATGGACAGATAAGTATACTCCTCCGAGAAGAGATGGACTGAGAGTGAGAGATGACGGACAGACAAGTATTGATCTATACCTCAATGAGGAGATGATGGACGGACAAGTATACTCCTCCGAGAGGAGTAGAGTTGGGGCGAGCGAATCGCGGACTCAGTCAGAGCGAGCGGGTAACGGACGGCCATGAGAGCGAACTGCGAACCTCAAGACAGTTCATTTTTTGGGTCCGCTCCACAATTTGACTCTCTCAGCGAGCGGACTGCAGACCTCAAGACAGTTTTTGGGTCTGCTCCACAATTTTATTCACTGGGCGGGTGGGCAAACGGACGAACTCTAGCAGACGAGATACTCGACGCGAGGTTAGGCCCAGGTCTATTGTTTGTTAAATAAGCCTAATGTTTCAGACCGCTGGCGGCGCCACAGCGAGTGAGAGAGGCTGGTGACATAGTACTATGTGTGTAAACTTTCACCTTGAGTGTGGGCACACTGTGTACATTCCAATTATCGCAAAGGCCGGGGGAGGGGGGGGTGGGAGAGAAATTTCCGCCATGAACGCCTAGCTACAATGTGAGGCAGGAGGGTGATTTTTTAATTAATTTTTTTTTGTTGGGGGGGGGGGGGGAGGTTTGTAAGTTGTATACAATGGAAGGAGTCGCTCCCATCCGTCCGTCCGCCCACTCGAATGCATGGAGTCTCTCGGTCCGCCCCGCTGCTCGCTCGCTAAACGAACTGTTGTCTCTGTCCAATGTGTAGCGAGTAGCGAGTAGTGAACTACTCTTCTCAAACGGACGGTTCGTTACTCGTCCGCTCGTTTGCGGGTAGTGCCAGCGAGTAGTTCGTTACTTACGGACGCTAATTTTGCGAGCCCGACCCAACACTAGTGAGGAGACGGACTGAGAGTGAGAGATGATGGACAGACAGATATACTCCTTCATAAGGAAAGGATGGCGAGATAAGTATACTCCTCCACGAAGAGATAGACTGAGAGAGGATAGACAGACAAGTGTTTTTCTTCCAGAGGAGAAAATGAACAGACAAGTATATTCCTCCAAGAGGAGATGATGGACAGACAAGTATATTCCTCTGTGAGATGGACTGAGAGATGATGGACAGATGATGGACAAACATACAAGTATATTCCTCCAAGAGGAGAGGGACTGAAATATGAAAGACACAGGTGTACTCATCTGTGATGAGATGATGGACAGACAAGTATACTCATCCGTAAGGAAATAGACTAGGAGAGGATGGACAGACAAGTCTTTGAACTACAATCCCCATACCCTGAAGCAAGACCCCATTGACAATTCTGCCGTCCAAAGGCAGAGCAACGTAACTACACATCTCATGATTTTGAGAAAAAAAAAAGGGAAAAACTATTGAGATCAGTCATTTTTGTAGCTTTATCCCTTTGAAAACTACTATTTCGGATGTAGATACACCATCCAACCTTTCACATAGGGAAAATAGGGGCAAGACAAGTGCAACAAACCAATGAAGCCAAAAACTCTGATTCCATACATTACAGTGCCCTGCCGTGGGACAGCAGAATAATAATGTAGCGTGTAGGTAAGACAATGCATGCTGTCGGGTTTTTTTTTAAAAGTTACATAAAGCATAATGTGGGAAACAATTCAGAAAAGTCAGCCCTGAGCAGGAAATTGATACAAAAGCTGTCAAGGATGAGATTATATGCATTCCTAAAAAAGTAGAAGCATGTCATAAAAACATGATCGCCTGGTATAGAGGTTATTCAGTACCAGAGATACTGATCAAGGCAGAAAAGCAGCAAAGGCATTAACACTACATGTAAAGATAAAATAAGAACATCTAGAGAAAAAAACCAAACCCATCGAGAGGTCCCATGCCTGAATCGCACATATCTCTAACACAGTTGCACCAGTACTCAAAACTGTACCTGGAAATCAAATGTCCTTCTCTGTAAAATTCTATAAGATATATTGCAATGAATCTGTTATATTTCTCTTGATTGGATATGACAATTTAAGTTACTTCTTATCTTGTATTTGACAAAATCTTTGTTCACCCGTTTCCTCACGATGTAGCAGAAATGACATTTGTTCGACTCTAATAAAACTACATTCAGCTATCGGGTGGCTGGAGGGTGGAACCGGTAGGTCGTACTTCTTTACTATCCCTTTTTAGTTTCTGTTTGCCGGTTTTGCTTTTTCCCAGCACTACTTAAACAGACAAAAACTCACTTCGCAAGCAAACAAATGAGCAAATAAATCAAGACTGACCTATCAAAGCTTCTGTGTCAAAGAAGAGCACATGAGCATCTGGGTCTCTGGTGTTGGTTTTGATGCCTTGAATGAGGAGAGGGAATCCTGTAGGTTTGACCAGTTCGGACTTGTGGCCAGGGCTGGGCTGGTTGGCGTGGCCACCCATCTGAGGGGACAAAGATATAAAGGGTATAGAAGGAAGAGGAGCAGGTGGGGGTGGGTTTTCACATGCCCGTCTGTCTGTCTGTCTGACTATCTGTGTGTGAGACTGTGTGTAAATGTGCGTATGTGTGCACATACATGTGTACACACATATGTATGTCTGGAAGCATGTGAGAGTGTCCATGTGTGCGTGCATGTGTTTCTGTCTCTGTGTGTGTGTGTGTGTGTGGAAGGGGGAGGTGTAGGTAGGTAGGTTGGTATGAAAGCCACAATAAACCACAGAGATAGTAAAGGAAAAAGCTAAAAATAAATCATCAAGAGAAACGGAAAGAATGGGATATGCATAGAGCATGCATTAAAATAATAATTCAAATACAAGTATCAATAGAAGTAAGATTTTATCTTTGTCAGTCATCCCTTTATCTGCACCTGAAGTTTTTGCTGTGCCAGGTTACGGAATGTTGCCAGATTTCTCCGTTTGAGTGCCTGCGCTAGCGTGATGCTGGGGTTTGTCAGGGCTTCCACAGGAGTCGCGTTTTCATCGCAGTTACTGAGTACGTCCTCTGCAGTTTTTCCATCGATCACTCTGTCCAGGTGACCTGGTGGGCAAAGTACGAGTTACAAATTCAGGTACAACAGTGGACAAACGACAATGTAAATATTAAGTGAAAGGATGGCAGTAGATGGATAACGTTGTAAACATTAGTGAGAAGATAATAATAGACATACAACATTGTAAAATATTCAATCAGAGGACTACAAAATAAGATTAATAGTTCAGTATCAGCGTGGAATAAAGTGATATTGTAAAAAGAAGTACGCTGACCAGAGTGTCCAGCAATATTTGCTGAAAAAATTTAAAACCTGGAAAAAAATTTACTACCCAGCAAATCAAGCCTCATACCAGCTCGAAAAAGGGAGTTCATTTGCGCAATCACTAACATATATTATCATTACATAATATATGGAACTAAAATAACACACAACAAAGTCCAGTCGACAAAATGGAGGATAGAAAGATGATCGCAAGCTTGCTCGCCGCTAGATTTAGTTTTAGTTTCAGTAAGGTTTTTACAGCCCTCGCAACAGTATAAGATCGACAAGGGGTGGATGTCAACAGAGAAGTCCAAACGGGCAATCACGCTTACTCTGCTCACCTCTCTAGCCTGAACAACACAAAGTCTGCTTCGACTATCAAGGCACCCCGGAAATAGTGGGCCACAAGAGTGACAAACATACAAAAAAAGTCGAGGAAAAAGACGATAGTAAGGAAGAAGAAAGAAAAAGCAGCAGTTCCCCCTTTGTTGTTCCGGCACAGTATGAGCATGACATTGATGAATCAGCCCATTTACAATTCTACTGCCCATAAGAGCATGTTAATATCCCCCCCCCCCCCCCTCTTTTGGGAATGGCCTAAAGACGCTTCAGTCAGTAGCACTGGTGGGGGGGGAGGGGGGTGTAGATTTAGACCTACACAGGGTGACTGCCAAACCAGCTTCTTGAGCAACGGCTGACACAATAAGTCATAATGTGAAGGGAAAAAGTAAGACAGACACACAGAATCTATAGAAGGAAAGAAAAGAAGAAAGAATTACCATCAGCACCCACCAACCACTCACAGATGAAGGAGACCGCATTCCTAGACGTAAGTCCAATTTATAGAGGTGACAGAAATCAGTATCTCGCCTGCTTTGTGTAAGACTCTGTCATATGCCATTTTAAAGAGTGATGTATGACAGAGTCTTACGTTAAGAAGTCAATCTAAATACAAGAACAACTTTGGGGAAGAGATAGTAAGTAAAAGAAAAAAGAAACATGAATAATCAAGGGATAAAGAGAAAGAGGAGCATTGGATAATCATCAAAGAAAACACTTCTAGAGTAATTGATGGTATACCAAAACTGATTACAAACACACACAAAAAATGAGCCCTTGAGTCTACTACACCTCCTTACATCTTCTGCATTCTTGTATACAGTATGGCCATGTCACTAAACTAAAAATAACAAACGGCCATACTTTGAGTATTCAGGGTAGAAAAAAAAACTATCAAAAGATACAGGGTATGGTGTGGGGGGGGGGGGGGGGGGGGGGATTGTGACCTCTGTGCGTGCATGTGTGTGTGCATGCGCGCGTGTGTGCATGGCCGCGCGCACGCGCGCGCGCGTGTGTGTGTGTATGTGAGTCACATAACTCTATTTTCCAAATTGGAAAGTTAAATATTCCTGAAGCTGTTAACACCAACAATACAAGAGAACTGCAAAAAGAGCAGGAAAAGCATTTCTACATTCTAAACATATGCAGTGTTCTTCATCTTGCCAGACAATCCTTGACTCTCAATCACAACTGCTTACATAATTGTGAGTAAGCCCCGTTGGTGTGCTTCTGGACATGCAATTGTGAGGTAGCGGGTTCAGGGGGTTTGAGACTCAGGCCTGAAGTCGTGTCCTTGAGAAAGGCACTTTACACAAATTTCCCATACTTCACCGAGGTGAGAATGGGTGCCCCTCCACAGATAGCAAAAGATCTTGTCAGTGTAGCAGTGTTTTAGCGCCTGTAAAATGGCACCTTGCACTGTATGCTTCTCGGGAAGTTGAGTTTGTTTCAGAACACTATCAGGTCTGCTGGATTAATAATATAGATTGTAAAGCATATAGAGCTTGCTGTTAAGAGGGAATTTGAGCTATGCAAATGTTATTTCTTCTTCTTCTTCTTCTTAGTATTTATTATTATCATCATTTTTATTATTATCATTTATTATTATTTTTAGAATAATTATTATGTTATTATTATTTACTGTTATTATTATTATTAATTATTATTACTTATTGTTATTTATTATTATTAATTTTTATTATTTATTAATATTATTAATTCTTATTACTTATTACTTATTATTATAATTATTTATAACTTACTATTATTGTTATTATTATTATACTATTATCATTATTATCTATTATTATCATTTATTACGTCTGACCAACAACTAAAGATACTGTTAGCAGAAGGGATATCCACATCACCCACCTGTCTCCATCTGCCAGACGGTGACCACCCCATCCTTGGTCTGTACCAGCATAAAGTCGTCCAGGGGTCGCCACTTGATCAGTTTGACCGGATACAGGTGCCGTGAGGCCAGCAGCAGACACTTCCGCTCCTTCAGACTCAAGAGAGCTACTGAATGATCCCCGGCCACAGAACAGATGCACGACAGGATACGTGGCTGTTGGTGGTGGTGGTGGTCGTGCGTGTGTGTGTGTGTGTGTGGGGGGGGGGGGGGTCACAAGAGAATGTTTCATTAATTTGTCCGAGTAATGAGAGAGCACATAAAAACTGACCCGATAATGGTTATTAAAAGAAGGGAAGGAGTAAGACAGACAGAAACAAAAGAGGGAAAGGAAAGAAAATAGACCTTCAAATGTAGGGTCCTCCAACCACCCACTTTTGTCACATGCAGGCTAAAGAAATATGTGAAGCAGCGTGGTGAAATCAAGCGCTCGTCAAAGTAATGAAATTGGAGAAACAGGCATTTTTCCAGCTGGTTTGGATATTTTTACTGAATTTTAATTTTTGGCTTAACCTCTTTACTGTCCATGTAAAAACACCTTTCCATGTGAATTTTACTAAAAACATAGATTAAAGGCACAAAACATGTCATTTTTCAGTTATCAAAGACTCTTTAGTTATTGGAGTCACCAAACTTTGGCGGTCATTTTCTCACTTATTTTACCACTGAAACCAGGCGACCTCACTTCCTTTAATCGCAGATATCTTGAGTTCTATCCAAGAAAAATGGACATTTATTTCATAGGAAGCAAGGCAAATAAATCAGCTTTCAGATGATACCAATAACTCCACATGCCCAAAATTGACGAGCGTCCGATTCCATCACGTCGTGACACATATATTTCTGTAAAATAAAAGGCTCGTCTAAAATCAAGACCCCAACTCACACTTACCGTGCAGGAACTGTTCCAGCACTAAGTCAAACCAAGATTACAATTCCTTCATCCTCCTTCCTCCTTTACCAACTCACATTGCAATATGTGTTCAGAAATTTGTGAGGCATCGTTGTGAAATCACATGCTCGTCAAAATAATGAAATATATCGACATTTTTCCGCTGGTTTGGCCAATTTTTTTTCGAAATTTCGATCTTTGCTCAACACATTTTGTGTCCATTTAAAAACAAATTTCAGTGTGCATTTTACTGCAACTTGTGGATTAAAAGCACCAAAAAAGTAAATTTCCATTATCCAAGGTCTCTCAAGCTATAGAAGTCACTAAACTTAAGTGGCCCATTTCTTACTGATTTTACCTCGGAAACTAGGCGATACCCAGTTCCTTCAATCGCAAACATCTCAACTTCTATTCAAGAAAGACGTGTATTTTTTTCAAAGAAAGATAGAAAAACAAACATGGTTTAAGATAATGCAAATAACTCCATATGACCCAAAAAACCCAGATGAGTGCCTGATTCCACCCCACGTAACACAAATGTTCTTTTTCTTTATAATTTACTAACTCACATTTCAGCTAGAGTAAAGAAAAAAACGGGGGGGGGGGGGGAGTTGTTTTTTTTTATCTTACAAACTCACATTGCAATTAGTGTTCATAAAACCGTATAGTTTTTTGGTTTGTTTGCTTGTGGTTTTTAAAAATATTTTACCAACTTACATTGCAGTTAGCAGGAGGTACTGTCATGTGACTCAGACTCCCCCCATGCACGGTGAAGGTGTGAATCTTGACACCTCCATTGACGTCCCACAGAACCACTGAGAAGTCAGAGCCTCCGGACAGCAGGTGGTGGGGCTCATAGCGTGTGGACTCGTTGAAAGGGTATAGGAGGCAGGTTACGCGCCCGTGGTGGCCATACAGGATCTTAGGGGAGGGAGCTGAGGGGAGAAACAAGTACAGACTTACAGACATACTGTTATACACGTACACTGAGAGCAAGCTGTTGTTTTTGTTGTTGCGGAATAAAGAGACAGCATATCAACATAAAAGTCATTTAGTGCAATTAAAGAGTGAGTAAGACACGCAGAAAAGACATAGGACCTACAGATAGTTGACATGAAAAGAGAAGCAAACCACACAAGAACACTCACCAACATCTGACTTGGGGGGGAGGGGGGAGGGAAGGTAGGGGGGAAGAGGAGTGGTGGGGGAGAGGGGGGATGGGACAGGAAAACTCCACTCACCAGAACTTTGCCCCGACAACAGCTGACTCTTGATACAATCTATCCCTGGCACAATCACAATCGTGCCGTTGTTGCGGCCGCACACAATTTTCCCTTGAGACGGAATATAGATGGTGGCGGTGATGAAGATTTCTGTGTTGCTGTCTTTCAGCTCCCTTTGCTCATCTGCTTTTTCACACTGACAAAGTAGAAAAGGAAGAACAATCATCAACTTGAAGACATCTTTCCTTTTTTTTTAGGGGGGGGGGGGGGGGGTGGTACTTATAAGATTTGTCACAAACATTTTTTTTGCAATGTTAAATAAGAATTGTAAATGTTTAATGCCCTTGAAAGGAAACTCAGGCTGCTTCGACCTGCATAGAGCTCAACCATTACAACATACATGGTAGTAAAACACATTACAATAATTTATTAGATTAGTTCTGAATTTGTCACCTGAAAGAAAAACAAACCCCAAAACAAACTGACAACATTCCAAAAAGAGTGGTAAAGGCCTTTAGAAATTTGACCAAAATAAAAGAGAAGGCATGTAAGTAATACAAGAGACAGAAAGTGGAAAATGGGTAGAAAATGTGGTGTATTTGGTTGTTTTTGGTTGTGGCAGGGGGTTAGGCCTAGCCTATTGTATTGTTTGGCTGAAAGTGTGAGAGTGAGTAAAGTGTGAGTCTGTGTTCAGTTGTATTGTTTGCAAGTTGATAAAAGTCTCAGTTACTACTGGTGGGAGTTGGAGAGGAGAGAGTTGTATCAAGGCAGAGGAGGCCTGCTGACAGTATAGATTGTGAGAAAGGCTAGTTAGAGCCTCAGTTCAGTTGTGCGTGAAGTGTGAGATTTCAATCCAACAGGTTTGGCTAATTCCTGTTATAGTGGCATGTGACAGAAGGTTAGTAGTGTAAAATCTTTGTTTTATGTTCCAAGTAACAACAGAAAAGAAGAAGGAAAGAAGGAATGAAAAGCGGGGAGAGGAGGAAAGAAGAAAAAAGGAAAGAGTGAATGAAGTGTGACGGAAAAAGGAAGAAAAAGCAGACCCTAAACAGTCTAGAAGAGAGGAAATGGTTAAAAATAAAGGAAGGAAAGATAGACAGAAAGAAAGGATTAAGAATACAGAAGGAAGAAAACAATCTTTAAAAAAAAAAATATGAATAACCATCTTTTTACACTGGGCACCTTGGCTATCAGTTTATTTCTTCCATTTCTGTCAGTTCTTCACACAGAAAATCAATAAAATATGTCTTACAAAAGAAAACTCGTGGCAAAAAGCCTTACTGATTAGCAAGTACATTCAAAGTTCTGAGTACAAATTCTTTATTGTAACCAATGACTGAAATGAGAGTGAAACCTGAACAGCAAAAATCATTTGTGCAGCACCAGTCAAAGAAATACCAGGAACAAATCAAACATGAAAATGAAGACTAAAAGGGGTAAAAAACGGCACAGTCACATTATGGTGATTTATGGGAAATCTCAGTCTTAAAATTTTGAACCTCATATCTTAAAGTAGGATAGAACATTTTCTCAGATAAGTTTTAAAATGTCAGGAAGCCACCATAAATTCTTTAAAATGCTATTTTTCCCCTTGTAGTCTTCAAACACTAAAGTTACTGACTATTCCATCTAGAATTCCTGGCGGAGATGATGACATGACTTTCCAGGAATCCTGTAAGGTGGTGCTCGACTTTGGGCTCAGGGCTGATGGGAAAGCACCATAAAAAGAACAATCTAAAATCAGTTTCATTTTAAAAATTAAAAAAAAAAAAATGCATTTAAAGTTTTGATTCAAGCCATACAGTTAGTACACCTCAAGTACATCTCCAACATGACTTTGAAGAAAGACGACTAGCTAGTAGCAGCCTCCAACCACCCCTGTGTGCTTGAGTTTTACAAAAGAGGTTGACACAAAGATACATTGACACAGTAATAGTCATTTAGTGCTGTGAAAAAGCAAAACAAACAGAAACAAAGGAAGGAAAGTAAAGAACTATTAAATCTACTTGAATAAGTAGTATTCTCAAATCTCCTGTATTTACAATCAAAACTTAACAGCCCAGCTTGTTTGCATTTCCAGCCACCATCTGTGAGTACTGGTCTCGATGGGAAGAGTGATATAGACATAAACAATACACAAACACAGACAGACAGGAAAACACACAAAAAGACTGACAAACATAAACAGCACACAAGCACAGACAAGAGAAACACACATAAAAAGACAAGGACACACATAAATAACACACAGAGACAAAAACAATGGAAGGAAAGAACAGATGTAACACCTTCCACAAACACAGACAGACAAGAACACACAAACAGGCATGACCTATAGAAGGAAAGAACAGATGTGGACCTACCACAGACAAGAACAACATGAAGGGACAGACGACGGACATTTTGCTTGTTTGAGTAAAGACAAGCACATCGACACAATAATGGTCATTTAGTGCTAGGAAAAGGTAAGACGGACGAACAGATGCAGCAGAGGGAAAGTAAAGAATTAGGACCTACCAGTGGCGCCCTCCAACCTCCCACACACACAGACAGACAGGAAAACTTTCTGCTGACCTTGGTACTACAGATTTACCCAGACTGTATGTGTATCACTGAACAAGACCCTAATGAGTGCATTTCTGTGTTGATGCTGAATCTTTGAACGTTGATGTTCTCGTATATCCACCCAGAATTTTTTACATGGATCCGTAGTGTTTATCTAATCTAATCAACACAAGATACTCATCAATATTTCCCACCTGGCAGCCTGTCAAAACTCTCCTGCCTAACCAAGGTCATCTGTTTCTCCGACACTTGGGGTAACGCCCACACAGTCACTCTACCATCCGAGTCTCCCCTCAGCATCAGGTGAGTGGCTCTCTCCCCAACGCCACAGCTCATGTAGGTCAAGGCCGGAGAACAGTCCAGGGGGCCCTGGGGACAGCAACACAGGGGGCAATTACAGTTTGAGAAGGGTTGAGGTGTCATGACTATATTCCCAATTGCCCAAGAATTTAGATGTTTCAAATATGTCGCCCTTGGCCTCCTTGTACTTCCTTTTCAACCAATCTCTCCAGTTAAGGCGAGATGTTAATCAAGACCATCCGGAAGGCATATCATGTGTCAAAAAAATGAAATCCTTGAATAACGTGTAAGTAAGTACATGTAGACCACGTCTCTCCTTTAAAGCGTATCAAGAAAGTCAAGATCTGAAGGGATACAAGTAGTACTTGGGCAATCTACATCCTCTATGCCTACCACCTTGTCAAAGCTTAAAGGTCACTTGTAAAGATGAGAAAGGCCACCATACACATGTAAATACAAGTACGGTAAAACAATACATTGTCACAAACAATTGCAAAACAAAAAGTTTCCCACCCCCACACACATGTGCACCACAAAGGACACACAATGAAATGCTGTTCATTCCCAAACATGTGTGTAACATAACACACTACGTACATGCTCTGTGAAGATATCCAGCACGTAGTAAGCATGGACTGAGGTCTGGCTGTAAGCTCGGTGGTAATCCTTGTGGTCTGGGTTGGAGCTGAGGAAGAGAAGCAAAATTTAAAATATTATTTTAGGCACCTGTCAGATGTACATGGTTGTCTCCTATTTCGCAAAAGAACTTCAGTACAGATGATAACAACAGTTTCAATGTACACATAGCTAATCAATACATGTTTAGGAAAGCAGTACATAAGATGTATCTATAAAACAAACAACTATTTTCTTTAACTTGCAAAGACCAAAAAAAATCTACAGAAAATGAAAGCATTAAGGACAAACTAAGGGGAAAAAAACAACAGAGGTGTATCCATACAACAAAAATACGTCTCCGCCTATACAAAGTTTGATCAGGGAGTATCAATATCTGTGTGATACATTACAGGCTACAGGTGCATGGGGGAATCTGGCATTGTTCAAGAGACAATTGTTGCTATTTTCAGTGCGACTAAAAGAGGAAAAAGTAAACTGGAGAAAAAAAAGCGCAGTCCACTTTCATATTTTCTACAAAGAAGAGAGAGAGAGAGAGACAGAGGGAGAGAAAGAGAGGGGTAGGGATGGAGGGAGGGAGGAAGAGAGGCTGAGAGAGAGAGACAGCGAGCAGGAAAGACATCTATTTTAGCAACTATCCGGAAGACCTTAGATATGGTGAACAAGTACATAGCTACACATTTTTCCTTTATTCTAGATACTCCAAACAATCAGGCTTACACACGTGGATTGAGGTAGGGGTTTACTTCATGTAATCAGCACAAACATTTTCCTCAAGTATCATAAATTTTGCTTTGGATATACAAGGTGTGTATGCCAGGACTGAGTGAAAAGAGCTTCATGAACACTATGTCTTGGAGCCAATTAGTTAGTTTGGGGCTTTAGAATGGTGAACACCACCATTGTTTATCTGCTTAACTAAACAACTTCGCTATTGGTCAAAACAGTTTCCCAGGAACGCATGGATTATATAAATTCTATGAAGGGCATTCAATAAGTCTTAACCTTGAAGATGAAAGATTTTAAGACAACAGTGAAACTTGAAGAGTGAGATTTCTATGTTTCTGAAATGCTGTATGTGGAGTTTGGGGAACATCTGATGTGCGGTGGGAACTTGAGAGTACTTTTGGTGACCAGAGTTTTCGAATACTAAAAGATAATACCATTTCCAATGGCAACAATTTCCGCTTCGTTATCAAATGTCTTTTTTAGCAAAGGAAAATCAGCATTCACAACTTCAGAGGAAATGCTGACAGTTTACCATGCTGAATACCCTTCTTTTGAAACTATGAAATATTGAACAAGAAAGTTCATATCAGGCAGTCTTCATCCTGAATCCCCATCACCATAGAAGGCAATGAGGCAATCTTCAAGTAGAAAAGTTATGTTGTTTTGTTCTTAAGACAGTTATGGGGGGTCATAATGACAAGACGACTTCGAAAATGGCCAGCCGTACCATCACCAAGAACTATTACGCAGTGTCATTCGTGCAACTACGATCTACCTTAGCCAAGAAAAGACGAGAGAAGTTGTCAAAAGGAATTCTCCTGCAAAACGACAATTTCCCAGCCCGTAGAGTGGTGAAGGCAACTCAAACAGCAAAGCAATGTGTCTACAAAGTTTTCCCACACCCACATTATCCATCGGATTATATATAGCACCCTCTGACTTTTTCCCTGTTCCAAAATTTGGAAAAGTATTCAGAGGACAGAGTTTCCATAGTGATAAAAATCTATATCTGCAGTGCAGGAAGGGCTTGTGTCGCATTTGAGGGCATATTATGCTCAAACTCAATGACTTTTAGAGGTATAAAAAAAAAGATGGCAAAAGCATGTCTATTTACAGGATGACTATAATAGAGAGAAGTAGCAATGTGAGTTCAAAATTCCAGCTTTCTTGACTGCTCCTTTAATAGTCAGGGTATAGTCTTATTGAACGCCCCTCATATTTATGAAAGCTATAATAATATTATGAGTATTTATAAAACAAACGAGTATTTCTTTTGCTTTGCTGAGAAAAAAAAAAGCAAAAGAAACTGAGAATACAGAGAATAAAAAACAAGGGGAAAAGATTAGCATCAAAGATTCAATACTGTTGTTCACACAATGGACTCATGATGAGGTCTGGAGGCCAACTCTCCCCCTCATTACCAAAACCTGCCTTATTGACACAACAGACTTAGCTTCCTTCTTATCTAAAGGAGAAATTACGTAAGACAGAACAATACTGCAGACAAGAAATGTTGCAACCATCCATCACTTCACCAACAACACTCAAAAGGGATGCCATTACATTGATAATCTCCACAAGGGAAGAGACAAACAGTGCTTCAGAAAATGTCTGAGAGAACGAAAAAGATATTGGACCATACACAACTCGACCGAACTTTTTAAAAGCCACTGAAAGCAGAGAGGGTTAAAAAACACTATGATAAAAAACAGAAGGAAAAAAAAAAGACAAACACAAAGGACTATAAATGATAAGAAACTGAGAATAAATTACATAAATACTGTCCAGAGGGTTCATCCCATGGCTCTACATAACATTACAAGAAAGATTTATTTAACTTCCCTTGTTTTCTAATCGCCCTGTAACAATAGGATAAGCTGTCAGACAAAGCTCAGCATTTTAAAAACTTTCAAGCTCAAGTAACAAACTCCCGCCTTCTGTGTGCAGCGGAGAAGGGTCTCTCACTATTGCATCACAGGCGCGTTTTGAACAAACACTTTTGCACCCACCAACTGTATGTTGGCTGCTCAGTGTAAGAGTCCATCATATGTCACTTTTCAAAATAGTGTTTGACAGAGTTTTACACTAAGAAGTTGATGAAGTGTCTTGATTTTTGTCTTCTACGATGGACAAACAACACTCAACTCCTGACTAATCTCTTACAAAGTGAATTGTTTCCGTTTTCTACAGAGAAAAATAAATCAGAACTGAAGTGCAACAAGCTGCTGGGATATTACTCACATCCCAGGAATCAGGACCTGTTTTCACAACTGACAACAGACCAGAGATATTTCTCTTATCCTAGACATCAGTTCTTACAACAGGCCACTGATTTTTCTCTCATCCTTAACTTCTGTTTTTACAACAGACCAGTGATATTACTTTTATCCAGGACATTTGTTTTTCCAATAAACCAATGATATTACTCTTATCCTAGACATCTGATCTGAAAACTTTTGATACAACTCTCATCCTTAACCTATGTTCCTATAAGAGACCAGAGATATTACTCTTATCCCAGACATAACAGACCAGGGATATTACTCATATCTTAGACATTAATTGTTCCTACAACATATCACCGACATTATTCTCATCCGGTACATCCATTTCAATAACACACTAGTGAAAAGCGCGCTAATATGACCATATGCAGTTTTGAGCGCTGTAAAACTTTTACAATAGCTCGTTCATTTTCATCTGACCGTGGTTAAAATGGGATAAAAACAAATCACTTTTATTAATCTTTTTGGGTCTAAAAGTTAAGCGACCGACAGAATCTAAAAGCCCATTCATAAAAGTCACTGCAAACTAAGGTTCCGAACGCTTTCTTTGATGTAAGCCTGCCTAAAGCAGGTAAAAAAAATAATAGATGATTTACAGCATATACTTAACACATTTAAAAGTTGACATATTTTCCTCAACACCACTCTTTAACGTTTGCCTTAGATACATGATTCAAGAGACTATTAATTTTTTTTAGACTCACGTGGAGCACGTGGAGACATCTAGACAGCCGGGGGATGAAATCAACAAGCTTACACTGAAATGTGGGGGCATGGTGGTGTCGCTGTCTCAAAATGAGCAATTTGTAGGCAAGGTTACTGTAAGTAATTTTGAGCCTGTGCATGCATCCAAAGAGCAGTCTTTAATATAGGCCCAAAGAGAAAAACTTTTTTATCACTGGCGGTCAAGATTGTTTGAAAAAATATTTATTTTTGTTTGGTCGCTGGCCTGCAGAAGTGCCATGCAAAGTTTCGTGGGCATACGTATATTCCTCAATGAGCTAGAATTTTTGTTTTGTTTAGTTTTTAAAGATTTTGCGGCCCTCGCAACTGCATAAGGTCAGATAATAATAATAATAGATAGCATTTGTATAGCGCAAATCCCCTCTCAACAGCAAGCTCTATGCACTTCAAAATCTATACTAGATCTATATCTTCACAAACATATGAGCGCCAGAAGATTAGAGGTATTATAAGAGAGCCTAACCACCCACTAGAATTTTTTTTTAATGCGTTCAGATGAAAGAGAACAATCATCGTAAACATCAGGATCAGTTCCAACAATAGGGCAGTCTAAGGTCATAAAGAGTTCTGTGTTGGTTGTAACCTTTACTAGACTTTCATCACAGCTGACAATATGTTAAAGGAGAAGAAAACCCATGTAGAAAACTTATTTTTCAAAACAAAGAAAGTGCAGTAGACAAAAAACTTGCATAATTGAGGAGCACTCCTGTAAGCGATATATACATAGACTCCACAATTTGGCAGAAATATATTCATTTAATTATAGCTAGACTTTAAAAAAAGCAAATTTGTACAACCTTTGCACTTTGGAAAGAGCACCCGAGTCTTGGTCGATCAAAATATTTCGAGACTTTGAAATGGTGGCAAGCATTAAAAATCTCAGACTGGTAAAAACAGGCAAAAAATAAAACAAAAAGAAAAAAAATAGAAAAACGTGTACAAAAATCAAAGTAAAAAATAAAATAAAACAAAAACAAAGAGGTGTACCAATATTTGAAACAATCTAATACATATGATAAATGTTTGAATCTTCTCGTACAGAACATCCACACAAGGGGAAGATCAATATTACTGACACAAACACTGACACCCACAACGAGCAGTCCTCGCAAGATGCAACTATCATTTGACCCGTCAGACACACACTCACAATACAAACAAACAGGCATATGACATCATAACAAAGGGACCGATGGACGAAGAGAAGAAAACAGTGTCAAAACACCACAACTTGGGTGACGTTATCAGACTAACAAAAAGAAATAAACATGACACACAAAAAGAAAAAATCCGGAGAATAGCAAAGGCTGGTTGCAGTTCATATAATTCATTGTTTTCAGGGTTTTTTTTACTAGCTTAAGCAAGATTTTGACGGCACTCGCAACACAAATAGGTCATATAAGCACTGAATATTGAAAGTTTTACTAGAGAGTAAAATAAAAAAAGGGAGAAGAGATTAGAATGATAGTTGTGTGTTTCATAGTGAGTGTTTCATTGTGGGCTATCCACTTCCCAGATTGCTGTTAAAGTAAAAAGTCAGCAAAACGTAGTTCCAACTAGTCCGGATGTAGCACAGCTTTTTAGTAGCAACAATTCCTACTCCTCTCCTGTTTTTGTTTTTTTTCGTAAGAATTTTACGGTACTTGCAACACAATAAGGTTATACAAGAGGCGAAGAATAGATGTTACAATAAGTAACATACAAAAAAAAAAAAAGGAGGAAAGATAAGGACGATAGATCTTTGATAGGAAAGAAGGAGCAAACCACACTAGAACACCCACCAACCACCCACTCCTCTCCCGTGATCTGACATTTACAACCCAACCACGGTAAATAAAGTTGGCTTAAAATTTATATTGAGCACAGACACAAACATTTGAACACACACATATGAACCACAAACACATGTGTGCAAACAGAGAAAATAAACACAATTTGGAAGAACAGAACAGATATTATGCATTAAACATTTGTTTGTCAAGGTTTTTATCATTAGGAATATAGGAACCAACAAAACACTTCCAGTGCTCCAGTTGAACCCATATCTACAGGCCTGAGCCTACATATTTTCTAATAGACTGACAGTCTTTCTTTTCCTTCTCATACTCCTACTAGAGCTAACAGTGTGCAGAAGATTTTATATACAAGGCTATTTTATCTATACAGAATGTAGAATCATCCCTTGCCAGACAGGCAGCCACATGTCTGGTATCCCTTTCGAAGGTACTCGTAGAATACATATACTGACAATTTTAGTTTAGGGAGAATTTTGAATTTTTTCACAAGTGGCAGCCCGCAGGGCCTACTCTTTTCTATTTTAGAACTGTCAAGAGATCTTTAACATGGGAAACTTTCATAAAGTACCCCAGGAATTTTTCATCCTTATCCAACAAGATTGGGTGCTCAATCCTACTTATCCTAGGATAAGGGCTGCAAAAAGCATGAGAACAAACCCATCGCAGGCAGGTTTCGAACTTCAAAACGCCGGGTTGACAGGCAAACACCATACCTATTGAGCTACTGAGGCCCCAGACTGACAGTGATTTAAAATGTTTTACGTCTCCATAGACACCATTTAAATCATTAGGAAGGCCAGCTACTATGACACTGCCTGTCTGGGCCAATGCATGCCGAGTGGGATGCAAAATCCAGCAGACGGACAGAGTCGCTTGATAAACTAACTTCCAACATGATAATCAAACTCACATCTTCAGTGTTCAATGAAAAAAGAGGCTAAACAAAATAATTATGAAAACTGTTGATGTACACATTTACAATAACTAAAACAGAAGACGTCAACAGTTGTTTCTCTATACAAAAACATTTTTGCAAACGTCGAGTATATAGGACATGTCTGTACAGTTTGAGTAAGAGTTCAACGGCACTTGCAACACAATAATGTCATATAAGTGCCGAGGAACTCAAGAATAGAGGTGCTACAAAAGAGTAACAAACACAAAAAAGAAGGAGGAGAGATCAGGACGATAGACGTTTGATAGGAAAAATGGATCAAACCACACCAGAGCACCCGCCAACCACCCAAAGGACTTGTCTGTACAATTTGATCCGCTCTGAATTCACAGTCAGCTCCCGCTATTGGTTTATTAAAGTAGATAACGTAATCATAACATGAGTCTACAGAGACGAGCTTTGACAGACATGAGCATGGAGAGAGACCGCAAAAGAGACTTGTTTGCTTGATTTGTTTGAGTAAAGAGAAGCACATCTATACAATAACGGTCATTTAGTGCTGGAAAAAAGGTAAGACAGAAGCAAAACCGACAGACCCCCCCCCCCCCACACACACACACACACACACACACACACACACACACACACCCCCCCCCCCACACACACACACACAAAGGAGAGGATCATTCCTCACTCACAAAACGTGTCATCAGCTAAAGCAACCAGCCTTTGCTAATACTTACAGACACTGACGAGATTTTAATTTTTGCTTGGCTCTATGAGGAAAGAAGGTAGTGGAACAAAAAAATGTCAGTGGTCAAAGTTAGGAGAGGTGGCAACAGGGAACAATGGAAGGGACTGGAAGGAGAAGGCACAGGTGTTTGTGGGGGTGGGGAGAAGGAGGACTTGTGAGAGGGTTTTTTCAACCACTATCTATATATACAACTGGGAATATGTGTAAACAAGAATAATATGTATAAATATATCATAAATATGACACACATACATAGACACACACACACACACACACACACATATGTACATTTATATATATAGAGAGAGAGGAGAGAGGGGAGGGAAAGGAGAGAGAGAGAGAGAGAGAGAGAGAGAGAGAGAGAGAGAGAGAGACAGAGAGACAGAGAGACAGACAGAGAGAGAGAGAGAGAGAGACAGAGAGACAGAGAGACAGACAGAGAGAGAGAGAGAGAGAGAGAGAGAGAGAGAGAGAGAGAGAGAGAGAGAGAGACAGAGAGAGACAGAGAGAGACAGAGAAACAGAGAGACAGAGAGACAGAGGAAAGAGATCTATAGAAAATAATCTATCATAAAACCTATTGACCTTCAGATTTGAATTGCGAAAGCAGCACAAGGTAACTTAAAACAGTATGTAACACGTGTTGTGAAGCAGATAAACTTTTTCTGCATCTAGTCCATGATGAGTTGGAACATTTAAGGGACAGACCGTGTTTCAACACACCTCCCTGACACCCCACCTATATACACAGACCTTGATATTGACAATGGCAGACAAACTATCGACAAAACTTTTTTTTATAAAGGTCAGTAAAGTCACTTTACATCACAAGTCTGCTTCATTCAGTTAAAATCACACCTAGGAAAAAGTTCAAGTTATCCATGTTTTGTGTTCTGAAAATAATTTGGAAAAACTTGATATCTCAGAGAAATCTACAACATTTGTTGACAGTGGTATTTTACCATGCATGACCTGAACCAAAGTAAGCTTTAATCACGTACCCCCACACCTTCACTGTCAAGCTGTTTTCTGTTTGATAACTCTAAGATATCTAATAAGCATCCCCCCCCCACCTATTAATTTTCAGGTTTTTTGCACCCCCCCCCCCTCCTTATTCCATACCCCCTGTTTAATATTTTCCAGCTTGCCACGAGCAACGATCGTGTGAATCATTATATATAGAATCTAGATATCTGAACAAAGCTTCCTTTTTTTTTTGTTGGAAATGGCAAATTACCCTCAGTATTAGTACAGGTACCGAGTCGGCTACCTCAATTTTCTGTGCATATTTTATACTTTTGTACATTGGTTTATATTTTTTAATGAAACTGGTTTGTTCCTAAATGGGAAAACTTGTTGCATTAACTTACTAAAATCACTAACATTTTATGATCTCTTGGTCACTGAAGGAGAAATAAAACAGATTTGTTCCTACTAGGGGTATGAGGTTGAATGTGCCCAACCCCCCTTGTGTATTGATTTTGGACCACTTGTCCACACACCCAATTTATTCCGACCCCACCCCCTGTTTATTCAATACCTTAGAGAAGTCTATTTGATAATTTTTATGGTACTTAACTTTTAAGCATTCTATAATAATTGCACCTATAACATTTCTAGACAGGTCCTCTAATTTTTCATTTATTTAATGGATTAGAAATATCAGAGCGATATTCACAGACTGAACATACATGCAAGAACGACCATAGACACACAGATGACACACTTTCCAGTGGATGTTTGGCTGTCATGGTAACAATTATACAGGACAGTCTCAATCAAACAAGACAATTGTTTCGATGGGAACGTAAAAACGCCTTCATTAAAAAACAAAGAAAAAACAACAAGTGCCAACACAACATTTGTCTGAACAAATGTCTGAGTATGAAAACTAGGGAAGGTTTGGGGAAAGGAGAGGGGGGGGGGGGGACTACAATTAATTTGAACTTGCTGCAAATGTTTCGCAGTTCCAACGACACAATTTAAACCATTTAAGAGAAAGGTTTGGAGCCTTCCTGTCTGGGTTGAACCAATTTGCCTAAACTAGATCCCTGCAAAAAACACATGCATGCTCCACAAAATTTCTTCCTCATGTGGAATCACACTTGTGTTTAGCTGCAGGTTAAATTCTATACCATGAGGCAATAGACTGTGGTGTGGGGGAGATAGCTATAAATCGGAGGAGAGTTACACTTCTTTACTTAAGAGTCTATTCATTTATGTTGAAGTGGGACTGACATAATTTAGATACAAAAGAATATAATCTATTTTGTAGCAGTAGGTGGTATTTTACCCCAATGCAAGGCAATATCTGTTGTGCATCTCGAAGTAGTACTCAAATACTGTACAAGACAACATCTGTATTACAATTGTAGATGATGTATTACTCAAATGCAAGAAATCATCTGCAATGTATCTATAAGTAGTCAATCACCATAATGCAAGAAAAATTTGTGTTGTATATTTCAGTACTAGCAGGGTCTATATCTTTCAGATATAAGAAATAAGCACATATCAAAAGGGGGGGGGGGATTAGAGGAAAATTTCGTTGGGGAAGCTACAAAGAAAAGATAAACAAAATGGCTCTGCAGAAAAGAAAAAAAAAACTTAGCCCACATTACAATAACAATGTTGGTTAGAGAAAACAAAAGCAAAGAGAATTTCAACTTGCTCTGAATATTTACAAATTGGATGCATTAATAGAAGCAGCGAAATGATATTGTTAAAGCTTAATGTAGCAGATCAAATTGGAAATAATTTAAAAAAACAGAAGTACAGAAATAGCCTTGAGTTGGCAGAATTAGCTTTAAAAATCAAGAACATTCCTGGCAAATATTGTCACTTTGGAACAGTCTGCATTTCTTTCTCATATTCTTGTTAGCCTGTGCAGGCCCTTTTAGACCCCAGGAAGTCAAATGTTCTGTCAACTCTATTTATCAGTAGCAATGCCTTCAGAACAACAGGCCTTACAAGACGCCAGTAGTTTTATCCTCAATGTTGAAGAAACCAGGGCAAGCATAATAAAATGTCTCAAAACCAACAAAGGTCAACATGAGGAATATTGTTCAAACTGAAAATGAAAAGGACAAAGTCAAAAGAGGAGAAATATAAGGTTATAATTGAGAACAATTAATTCTTTGATATAGGAATACCAAGAATCAAAAGCAAAACGGTCACTTGCAACAAACAACAGCTGCTTTCACTTCTTACCTGGCCACTGCTTTCCCTCGGAGCAAGCTGAGGCAAAAACAAGCCCCTTATTCAGTCACCATAGCCCTTTTTGCACAAAACAAGCCCCCAACTCGGTCACTGTTGTCCCTTTTACATAGGACAAGCCCTAATTCAGTTACCAATGGCCCTTCAACATAACACAAGCCCCATATTCAGTCACAACTACTCTTTTAACGAATTAACATTTTTTTCCCTATTGCCCGTTTTACAAATGACAAGCTCCTTATTCAGTCACCATTGCCCTTTTACATAGAAACAAGACCTAAATTCAGTTACCAATGGCCCTTTAACATAAAACAAGCCCCTAATTCAGTCACCATTGCTCTTTCAATGAACTAGTACTATTTCTTTTTGTTCTTTTCTTCATTACTACTTCAGTCTTTTTGTATTATTTTATAAAAGAAATGAAATTCCTCAATAGGAGAACACTCCAAAACGAAATACTAGATAGGAAGAAAGAAGCCAAGCAATCTTTAAAACGATGACAAAAATCTAGGTTAAATATGAAAAGATTAGAGCTTCACAAACAATACTTTCTCACAGATAAATAACTTTTACCCAATGCAATTGTTTCTAACATTTTACCATTGCAACTGTTCTTTCCCTATATCGTATCTTCCATTTATACTACCTAGCAAATTGAAAAAAAAAATCTAATTGGCCAAAATTTCAGGCCAAACTATTTCCACTCTATATTTTCTAACAACGCATTTACCTCCGACATGTCATGCGATGCATGCCAAGTGAAAATTCATTATGTGACACAAGCATTCCCTCAGACTCACAAAGGACGGATAGTTTTTAAAAGGCATGTGACGGTTGGACGAACCAGAGGAAAGTTGTGGGAAAACTTAACCATTAACACAATAAAGTAAACACAACTTATCATTCAAAGAAATCACCACAAATGAACACTTCCACCAAGTGTACAAACTAGTACCATGGAAACATTTTAAACCTAGTGTTTTGTTCCTACTAATATTTCAGTACAACCGGTAATTTCTATCCCTAGAACAATGTCCGCGAAAAGTTTGCCATCCTTGGAATAGTGTCCAAGAAGAATTTGCTATCTCTGGAACACTGTCCTATATGAGTGTGAAGTGCAAGTATCTTTAGATTTGGACAGACTTTGTTCAGGTGCAATTTTATCAAACCCATTAGAAAAAAAGTAAATAATTCACTTTGAAGGAAGGAAGATGACCCCTGCTTTCTAAATATACATTTTCCATCACAAGATATTTCTTTTCTGAGAATGGCATGAGCTATCTCAAGTAGACATAATCAAGGAAACATCAGAGACACGCTCAAAATGGCTTAAGACTCCCATCACCTTCAATTGCAAGTTTTTAAAAAACCCATCTATATTTGAAAAGTAAAGTAATACAGATAAAAACCCCAAAAAAGAAGTAAAAATGTAACTTAACATTTTTTAGTCTCCTTTCCCCCCTTCGCTTGAGCATGCAACAAATGTGTATTGACTCCCAGGAATTTACCAAAGGGAAAAGAGTTGGTGGAACAATAATAACCAACAATGAAACATTTGCACATTCATGACACTTGAACACGAAGAACAGAAAGTAAGACATTCAATTTCAGCAGAAACTCCTCAGTTCTTGTCACTCACAACACCTGTATAAAATTCACAATCAATTCTCTGTGCTCTCATAGAAGGTAAAAACGTCCTCTGTGTAGTTTCACACAAACTTCCCGCCATCTCACAGCCCTTTCTATGGGTAAACATTGGGGTGTACCCAAAATTTGCCACAGGATCAACATTAATCAGTCCATCCCCAAAAGTCGAAAGATCTTTTTTTCTTATTTTTTTTTTGGGGGGGGGGGGGGGGTTCTTTTCCATCTTCAACTAAAAGGTAAACAGTTTTATTAAAACTGAACCAAGCAAACCACATTCGTGAATCATTCAAATCTTATACGCCTCCATTGAGATTAATATGAAAATTTATAACAGGGGCTACTTCAATATTGCCTGTAATGGTCAACCTAGGCTGAGAGGGATGCATCCCAGCAGAAAGATGGAGACAACTATTATTACCCAAACAGACCCTAAAACTCCCAGAAACATTCTAAGCTTCCCAGAAAGGACACAGTGCAAGCATTTCTGGCTGGGGAAACGAGATCATTTATCAGTTATTCAACCTATCTCGTAGAAACCAAAGTGGCCTTCACACAACAGCACAGACAGCAAATCTTGCTAAATCTAACCCAAAAAATTGCTTGTACCATCAAGTACAGAGCAGACCAGCAAAGGCACAGCAAACAAGTTTGATATTTATGATATTCATAATCTTATCTCACTGGAATGACACATTATCATAAAGACAAATAAAGAGTGATCGCCAAGCACAGAGCGTGAAAGATGTCAGAAAAACTTCTAGCATGAAGATGTCTAAGACATTTCTGGAAATAGCATTCAACAGGCTTGAGACCGAAAAGAAAAGCTGTCATGTCACACACACAAAAAAAGAGGTACAAACAAAAATTAACAATAATTTTCGGACCAAGAGGCAACGAATCCTGTTATATAAAAATGTTGCCTTTCCTTTTATCCAGAGTGCAACTGAGGCTTTTGGTGCAATAATGTAACGCATCCCTGAGGAAAGTTCAGAATCAAACGTACAGCCTTTGACATTTGTGTTAAGTCACGTCCATTAAGGAGTACAACGGAGGGAAAAAACAATATTTTAAAGTGTCAAATATTTTTTCACATATTTGGTAACTCTTGTATAAGCATTACAGCTAAGCTGCAAGCCCAAAACTACATAGCCAGTGTGAAGCCAGAATCCATGAGCAGATGAAAATCAACATTTGTAGCCATCTAGAAAGTATGTGCAAGAGAACTGTCGCTAAGTGGTCCCGATTAAGCGAGGCAATAAGGCTGGATACAACCAAGCACTTTGAATACAGAAGTGAACACCTTACCTCTTGGCTAATGAACCCTCAGGTACTTTCCACTTGGTAAGCCAAGTTCTTTTTGTTAAACTGGGTAGTTTCAACAATCTGGAAACCAAATTCTAATAGTTTTCTTCCCTGATTGCCCAGATACTTTAAAAAATTGTTTTAATTAGCTTTGACTAAAAAGAGCAATACATGTAACATTGACACAACAGCAATCATAATTTTGTGCTAGGATAAAAATAGTGACTTATAGAAAGAAACAGCAGGGGAGGAGCAAAGGGGTACCCTCGAACAACCCAAACAGACAGAAACAACAGATGAAGAGATAAGAAGTAGCACCTACCAGTGTTACCCTCCAACCACCCACATTCCTGGTGCATCGACACCTCTATAAATGATACAATCAATCAACAGTCTACACAGTCAGTATATGAACTGATATAGAAACTAGAAGACAGAGGCAACCGAAGGGGTTGAACCTTTGAATGCCACCCTCCAACCACTCATAGACGGAAACAAAAAAGGAGAGAAAAGAAGCAGTTTCCGCAAGTGGGGCTCTCCAGCCATCAACCAACCACATTATAAAATGCATGGGGCACAAACGTTTCCTCAGTTCTAGAAGTACTGGTCAGATATTCTTTATCCCAGCATAGACTGTGAACATTTGTAAACATAACAAAGATATCCCCTCCGATCTGCACTCATAATCTTACAAAAAAGGTCATGAACTACACCTACTAACTATGTTTCAGCAAAGACCACTATCTACACCTGTAATCTGACAACAAAGGTGACAATCTAAACCCACAATCTTACAACAAAAGCCAAACTCTACGCACACAAACTTACAACAAAGCCAACAATCTACACTCACAATCTTACAATAAAGATCACAATCTACACCCACAATCTTTAAACAAAGGCTAAAATCTAGACCCATAATCTTTCAACAGAGGTCACAGTCCAGACCCACAACCTACACCCACATTCTGCACACACTCCACCCACAAGGACAATTTCTGACTGACCTCAGCTTGCAATTAATAACTGTACCATCCTAAGACTAATGGTTAAAAAGAAAGGGACAGAAAAAATCAAAATAAATAATTCCAGTAGACAAAACTAGATGTTAACCTGTAGATACAATACAGGTAGGTAAAGTATGGGAAACCTCTCTAAAGGTTCTCCCGATAACGACTCACTTGGTGGGCAGTTTGTAGAGATAGCCCCGTCCCTCATTGCTCCATACAATGACTCGGTCAACACTGAGGAAATCTCCGCCCGTCCATCTCTCTCCTCGACGATTAGACTCAGAACACAGAAGTGTGAAATCACTGGCATCGTAGATCTGAAGAATACAGAAAAAAATAACAACAAATATATTCATGTTTCCACAAATCACTGGCAATGCAGATGCAAAGAACAAAGAATACACAAGCAAAAATGTTCACGTCCCTACTGATAGAGAGTTGGGTTTCTTTTTAAAAGCCCAGTTCTGCTGTGAGTGGTACATTACATTATTTACCAAACACAGATCTGTTCTGTCTTCAATTTTCACATACTTCTTTGCTAAACATTTTACAGACAGAGTATGGGGGGTGGGGAAGTTTTTTAATTTTTAGTCAGAGTTTTACAGCACTTGCAACACAATAACGTCATATAAGTGCCGAAGACTAGAAGTGTTACAAGAGAGTAACAAACACAAAAAGGGAGAGGAGATAAAGACAATAGATGTTTGATAGGAAAGAAGAAGCAAACCACACCAGAGCACCCGCCTACCACCCACAGGGGCGGGGTAGGGAAGGAACAATACGGGCTGAAAGTATCCCATTAGACAGACAGAGACTCGATAAAAGCAACCCACCCACCCACCCCTTCATAGGAACAGAGTTAACACTTATGTGCAAAAATGGAGAGCATAACCATTCCACCATAGACGCCGGTCCCAGTTAGTGTCGGGTAGTAGGAAGTGGTAACAATGAGGAGCATTAACCTTTAGGTGCTAGTAACTCTTTTTGTGAGGTTAAGTAAGGCCGCTCCCAATGAGTTAGTTTAGTTTTAGTAAGAGTTTTACGGCACTCGCAACTGCATAAGGTCATATGAGCGCCAGAAGATTAGAGGTGTTACAGGAGAGTATTAAACATTAAAAAAGAAGAAGGGGAGGTAAGGACGATAGAGGTTTGATAGGAAAGAAGGAGCAAACCACACCAGAGCACCCGCCAACCACCCACGCTCCCAATGAACCCATCTGCGGGTTAGAAGGGTATGACATTATGTGAGGGGAGACGTTCAAGTAAACAGAAAGATACACTCACACATACACAGATACAAACAGTTACACACACACACGCACACACAAAGATACAGTCACACATTTACAGACATACTCACATACACAGAAGTACAATATCATAAACATACATGTATACACAGACACATGCACATACATTCAAAATTAAACACACACACACATACTCACACAGACACAGACAGTCACACAAATACAAACAAACATACACATACTGATACACACATGTACTCTCTCTCTCTCTCTCTCTCTTTCTCTCTCACACACACACACACACATACACATACACACATAATTATATTGATACAGCAACTTCGCATTGTCTACATATGAGATTTGGAAAAATTCTTTAAAAAAAAAATTAGAATTGCATGCTGCAAGTGATTGCATTTGATAATCCAAGGCATAACATCACACATCGTCCTTCAATATATCACATAACTGAGCATGCCATTTCAAAGCCTCTAAAGTGATTGAAAAACAAGAGTCCCTAGTGACAGTGAATCAATAGAAAAGCAAAGAGCTAACAATAAGAAGACAGCTAGAGCACAAAATTAAATATGATAAGTAGGCCAAATAAAAAGCTTCCTAATACATGACAGATCAAACCACAACAAAAATAAGAAAAACATGCAGACAGATAAACAATCCAACAGACTAAAAAAAAACAAACCAAAACATTCCTTTAAAAAAACAACACAAACAAAATGTGAAAATTGCATTCTCAAAGCTAAAAACAGGCAGCCTTTGAAAAAATGTGCATGGCTTGGCCTCAAGCGTATATACTCACACATGTGAGAACATACACAGAAGCACATATGCACACAATGTCACTGCTTATGTACCACATCATGACACATACAGGCATGCCAAAAATGACTAGAAATACTTTGATTCCCCAGGTGATGTCACCAACAAACACGCTACTAAGGCACTGACTCATAGCCCATGTGTTAACCCTATACGTGTCAACTGGCAATATATCATAGTAATCCGACGATTTGCTTGTGTCAATCCACAATCTGTAACCCATATGGAATCGTATCAAGAGTAAAACAGACCCCTTTTTACAATGAGCATGCCCATTGTGAGTTAGTTTTTAACCTTTTAACACCACCTCTTGTACTTAATTCTTTTGTCATCATTTGGATACATCACATTTTTAATTTATTAGATAAAATAACTGTGCACTCCCAACACCACCTTCAACATGTCAAAATTCTAACACACTAGTTTGGCATAACCACTGTCAAAACCCAAAGGTATGGAAACAATATCAGAGGCTCACTAGTATGGATCAAGCCTTTTTAAAAAGAGCTTCCAACATCATTGTACAAATGAGAGTCGTTAATTCAATGCAATAAAATAAATCATCAAGATAACTGTAGTAACATATAGAACTAGAACACATTAAGGCACAGAGCTGTTAAAGTACTTTTTAAAAAGTACTTAAGTATAAATTTAAGTACAATCTAAAAAATGTACTTAAGTACAGTAAAAGTACTTTCCTATAAAATGTACTTGAGTACAAGTACTTTTTTAAAAAGTACTTATGAGTACATTTTGAGTACTTTCTGCTAATATGCTAAAACACTTCAGCGCTTATGCAAAACATCATGTTTTATAACTTATCCAGTATATTTGACAAATTAGGCTATTTATTACTAAAAATGTAAACAGTTTACAAAGCATTTGAATATACAATATACGCACTGAACGGTGGAAATGGTCCGTGAAGTTGAACAAAAAACAACCCAAACGAACTGACGCAACTAGTGGGTATGTGATATTATAAATAGAACTTGTTTGAGCAAGACAATGTGATCAAATGTAAGTCAGTCCTAGAGGTCGGAAAGTTCTACAGAAAGAGTATCCAAATTGAAAAATGTAGATACAAAGTTGCTCTTAAGAAAACATAAAATTGATGAAAATGGCCGCATAGAAATGGAAAAGTGCATTGAATTCTTCATTAACAAATCCTCAAGGAATCAATGTAGCCTTAAGCAAAAACCACCCCAAAAAAAGTTTAAAAGAAATTTAGGCAGCCTAAAAATTGTTAGATACACATTGAAAATACAGTTTCAGTTTCAATTGATTATAGTGGTCTGACAGATTTTGGTCACACTGTGTAGTCCACGGCGCCCACGGCAAACCAAAATAGGCCTATACTGTAATTTCCTAGATTCTAGTAAGTGTAGTGTAACCAAAGATTCTCTTCTGCAGTAGTCTCCACCTAAGATCCCAGTGCTCGGAAGCAAGGAAAATATGGGATCTTAGCCAACGAAGCCAAGGAAGAATCTACAGTGACCCATGAACTGACGTGACCCCTGGGTGGATTTATGACATACGGCAAACAAAGAGTGGTCAACCTTGATGACCAATCACAGTGGCATGAGGCATGCCATAAATAATAAATATATAACACACTCATTAGCCTATCGTGAGTCTTGAGATCTTTATCTACGTTTATCCAGTTGCCCCTCCCCTTTACCTGTCCAACAATTTTAGCTTTCCATCTCTGATTGAGTCCCCCCCCCCCCCCAACCTCCTTTGTCGGTTACGCACCATTACGATGTGACCACACTAATTAAAATTCAGGTTGTCTCGCAAATTCGGGGAAAACTGCTTTCAATGGTCAGGGAAGAGTTCACAGTTTGATGTGATCCCGCCTGGAGCGAACTTGTAGGCCCTACCCACCCAGGGAGTGATGTAAGTTTAGGTGGTGAGGTCAGATGCGAGTGCGATGTTTGGGGAAAAGAAACGCATCGGTCAGTTCACACCTCGGTGTGATCCCGTCTGGAGCAAACTTGTGATCACATTCACGATAGTGGCTGATCTTTGAGGCGACGGGCCGTTCTTTGATCTCAACTTTTTGTTCCGTAAATTATGATCAGAAATGTCTGCACTTACCCTTTCATTAAGCTACCAAAGTACTCAAAATGTACTTGAAAAGTACTCAAAAGTACTTTTATAAAAAGTATCGGAGTACAGTAAAAGTACTGGTTTCAAAAATGTACCGGAGTACAGTAAAAGTACCGAAAATTGTAACGTAAGTACAAATACCGGAGTACTTGTACTCCGTTACTACCAGCTCTGTAAAGGCAGCCAGCGACCTTTCTAACAACCAATGAACGAGAAAATGGAAAAAAATCCCTGAATTGGCAATAAAATACAAAGTCTTATCATGACATAAGTCATGAAATTAAACACAGTCAGCATCACATAAGGAAGTCTTATTGTGACGTAAGTCATCAAATAAAACATACGCCCCCATCAACACAATCTACATAATTTAGGAGGCAGCTTTCTGATCCTGCCAGGCAGGGGCAACCCAGTCTGGGAGGGAAACATCCCAGCAGAAAGACAGAGACACTTTATATAAAATTTCTACCCACTTGAGAATCAAACTCGGGTCTCCTGTATGTGACAGCAAAGAGCCTAACGGATACACCACAGATGCCAGTAAGAAAGTCATATGACGTAGGTTAAGAAATGAAAACTCACAGACAGCATCCCATTAAAGTCTTATGCTGGAGGTCATGCATGTCTCCTTAAGACATGGAAAACTGATATGTCTCCCTAGAAAATAAATTACTACAACTTGTCACTTCTAAGTTTGAAAAATTTCTTGCACGTACCACTTGGGACTGCTAAAATTATAGTTCTAACATTATTTTTCATCTTGACTCAAATCCTCAGAAAATTTCCGGAACGCATTACTATTAATAACTCAGACTCAAGCAAATCTGAACAGAAGAAAACTTCTTTCCTGCCCATTAGAAAGTGTGCCACCGATGCTGGTGCTCACTATGTCTTGGTACTTTAAAAGTCTGCACCAGAACATCATTTCATAATTATGCATGAAGGCCAAAAAAAACCAACACATGATCAGTTCTCAAATAAATTCATTCTACTGATCATAAGGTGTAAGTACCGAATAATTCTATATAACATTGGTAGAGTTTAACAAAAAAGACAGCAGCGAAGCTGTAACAACTAAAAAATTGTAGGAAACATTGTGAAAGTTAAGAAAATAAAGACACCAGAGAAGATGCCAAACAAAAAAATCATTCAAACAAATGAAAAAAAAAGAAAAAAGAACATAACAAGAAGAACCAAAATCTAAGGGAGATGTTTAGTGCACTACACTCATCAGACATTAAAGGAATGGATGTCTCTCTATCAGTCTCTACCCAATGTCTAGACACTAGCTGCTAACGCCAAAAGTACATTCAGTTCCAAGCCTAGCTTACCACGTCCTGAGTGTCGGCCCGTGAGCGGCTCCTAAAACTATAAACCTTTAAAGGGAGCAACAGAGAAGGAATTGTGTCAAAAGACTGGAAGAAACAATAATTCAGCTCATAGGGAATGATAATACTGAACATAACATAAAATAAATATGGCTTCCCTGAAAAAGTATGTAACACGAAAAACATACATATGCAGGGACAAAGATTGTCACAGTGTTGAGAGCTAAAACTGTCCTGAGTCAAGTTCATTACCAGCACCGACCTGCAATGTAGCAAACAGTGACTATGAAATGTTTAAAATATTTTTCTTTCGGAAGTTCAATGTCTATCACAATCCGTCTTGAAAGGAAAACAATTTTTATTTTATATCCTTAAAGATTGAATTTCTACTCAAAGACTTTGAATTTCTAAACAAAAGCAACTGAAAAACTGATTTGCGCTATCTTCAAAAACAAGTACATATGACCTTTCCATCAAACGACAGTATAAATGTTCAACAAATGCATGATATGACGCAATGAGATTTATGCACAACTGAGATTTTTTTTTTTTTTAAAAAGATTCCATTCTTCAGGGAAAAGGGGAGAAAAGAAATGAGTAAAAGAAAAAGGAACAAAACCTCAAACTGCATCAGTAATGCATCAAGAAGGTGACCCCTTACATTTTGAAGCCTTTTCTTCTACAAAATTTGAGACATCACCACACCAGTAAATGCCAGCTTACCTCTATGATTAAAATGTAAAGACAAGGAAAAACAGCATAGAAACAACTAATTATGGTAAGTAAAACAGAAAAGAAATACCCAGAAAAATCTCCGGCACGCCACAAATGTTAAGCTGTTCATGCAGAGTAAAAGAGCAGAAAGTGTGCCCACTTACACAAACTCTCTCTCAAACACACTCACACTCATGCAAATGATCAAATTGTTAAATAAGCAAAATGGAAATGACATCGAACTATAGTTTTTCCACTGTCATCTGTCAGCTTTAAAGAAATTCTAGCTCATTTATTAATTTGCCAATATGCACATAATTTTGTAGAGCACTCCTGTAAACCAGCACCCAAACAAAAATATTCTTTAAAAAATATGTTGATCCAGCAAGTAAAAAGTTTCTTTAATTGGGCTATCCTTAAGATGCCTATAACAATAAATGACTTTAAGTAGAATAGCCCACAAATATACCCCTTTGAGACAACACACAGCCCTGCCTCCACATTTCAAAGTAATGTAATCATGTAGTTTTTCCCCTGTAGACTGTCTGGACATCAGCATGTGCTTCTCAAAATTTACTCACTCATCTATTGCACTATGTCTCATAGGCAAGAACTCAGTATCTTTTATGAGCTTATCACAGTTGTTATTATCATTTTTCGTGCCCACTGTAATTAATCAAGGAATACAGATCAAGTCAACTGGATTTTTTTAAAGATTCATTTTGAGAATTTAATAACCTAAAAGTGGGAGAATAACTATTAATTAGGAAACCCCTGGTTTAGCCAATTTATTGAGAAATGAGTCTCCACTCTTGAGTAAGCATCCAGCTAGATTTTCACCAACATATCATTATAAACAGAAAATGGCGAAGTGGCTGAAAGCCTTGAGTTTGGATAAAAAAATCAGTCATGGTACAGCAGACCTTTCATTTATGGGGTTTTTTTTCCTTACCACTCACTACCTGCACTTTTTTACACGGTGTCTTGTAGATTCGACAGCAGTCAAGACCAAAAACTTCCCATAAAATGTAATTAGCATGCTCCACTTCTGAACTGACTGGGACATGAGCACTAACCCATTAAGTTATAATATGTCCCCTCAGTTTACAAGTGGTCAATAAATGTGTGGTGTTGATGAAAATAGGGCAACTTTTTGTTTTAGACAGAGAAGATTAAAAAGAGCTATTTGTTTTTATCCTATTTTAACCACGAACAAATGGAACGAGATGAAATATACACATGACATTCCACACCAACTTTTAATAACCTTAAAACATTTGAGTTTCACAAGTGGTGCTATAAAGTTATCTGGCTCACAAATACGCATTTTTTTCATCACGGGACCAATTATGTCAGTGTCATCAAAAGCAAAAACACTGCCATAACATTCTTTTAATCGGCATGTTTTTTTTCTGTTACCAAACATTTGTGAAACTTTCATCTTATTGAGCTAGAACACTACTCAGCAGTAATCTTGCTAATCTGAAATTGTCCACATCACTCCCGTGTTTGACTTCCAGTCAAAGCTAAATTCTTTTCACATCAGTCGTACGATCGTAAAGTTTTTTAGTCTAATTATCGAGAAATGTGTCACCACTCTTGAGTAATTTTGGCTGACTAGCTACTTATCAACGGCAAGTCACTCCCAGTGGCTCAGAGCAGCTGTGCCGGTGAGCCACTGGTGAGTCGCTGGCAACGGCTCGGGCTGCATTCCTTTACGACAACTTCAATGTCCAATTACTTTTCGGCAATTGCCAAAAACAGGTCTCTTTACGGGGGGTTCATTTATTAGATGAATAACAATCAAAATAGGTTCAGTTGTTTTGATTTAACGGCCCATTTAGTGACATTTTTGTCATTTTTAGATTTAGTACCAAAAATTGCCCCCTGTGATGTGGGTTTACTCCCCTCGGAGATAAAGAGTCAAACCATTTTGTGGAGAGTTTGAAGAAGTTGGGATTTTGATTATGTCAAACCTAACAGTTGGGACTTGCTCTATCCTAATTGTAAACCTCATACCGAGCAGTTGAAACTCACTCTGTTTATCTCAAATCTTGAAGTTGGGACTATGATTATCTGTATCTTGTAGTTGGGACTTTGACTTCTTCACAAAAAGCTGTTGGGACTTTGATCATTCCATTTCTGGAAGTAAAGACTTATTTTCATTATCCTATATCAATCTAATAGATGAGACTTCCTCTGATTATGTCTTAACCTGCTCTTAGGACTTACTCTGCTTATCTTGTACCGAGTACTCAAGACTGGTTATCTAATACCAAGTACTTGAGGCTTCCTCTAAGCACAAGGAGACCCTTCAAGTTGACAGTACCCCTGGTGTTCATACAGCAACCTCCAATTTCTAAAAAACACCAAAAGTTTCGATGCCGCATATAAGTTTGCCAGGGCCTTTATCAAAACTGTACTATAAAGAGTAATAAAGTAACAGCAAGGATCTGAGAATTACACAGAGAACTCTCAATATGTATCCCAGACTACAAGAACAACAGTGCAGCAAACATAAATATTCAAGCAATACTGTGGAATTCTTTTGGCATGCAAAGATCAAACACAAATTAGAACACACCCAAAGCATTACACAGTATGCTACTGTCCTCTTGCATTCTTCCCACAACATGTTCAGGCAGTGTGTATATTTCATTTCACTTCAGATAAAAAGAGGACATTTTGTGGATGAAATGCGGACATTTTCTTACTACAGGCATTTTTCCAGCAGTCGCGGTGTCAGCAGCCATTGCTCCTATTTGCTAACCTTTTCTTTGATGATTAGGCATTTAACTATTGGTCTGCTTCACCAGGGTCATATTGAAAAAAAAAAACCCTATTTAATTCTGAACTAAAAATTCTTCATTATTTCTTCACTGAGACAGAAAACAAAAGATTTCTTAGGCATATTAATTTCCTTTCAACTATCTTCAGATTTTCAGTGGTAATCACTACTTTCTGATATTTTAGAGATAACAGCCAAAAAGTGTGTCATATCAGTTACTGTCTTAACATTTCCCATCATCTGGTGAAATTTTAGATCAAAACCATTTCGATGAGATCAAGTGATTTCAAAGATCCAAACAACCATTTTCCCTTTGCAGCAAGAAACATATAATATTGAAAAACCATCAATCCAAAGATGCCAACAGCTTTGGGGAAAAGATCAAAACCCACATGGAAAAGGACGATAATCCAATTGAAAAAATATTCCACCAAAACATACAATAAAATGGTGTCTAAGCTTGAAACCAGTAGATTGACTCAAGTAACAAAGTAAACAGCAAACTTTTCAGGGACTACGTTTTTCAATTCTCAGAAAACCTTTATCAGCATAATTCATCCTGACCATTAAAGCATACTTAAGTAGAAGAGCCGAGCATGCAAACCTAGAGTCTCAGAAAGAAATTAACACAAAAAAAGCAAAACCATAACCTCTGACAGAGGTAGAAAAATCATTGTGCAGAGAGGGTTAAGGAATTAGTTAGGCTTTCAAGAGTTAGAGGAAAATGGTTGGATGGCGTGCAAAGAAAGATAAGGAAATAAAGGAAATAGTAAAGCTTATTGGACTGGATTAAAATTTTTCAAACGATCACATATTAAAAATAGGGTACAAAGTGATGAGGTAAATCAACTAGCCAATGAACTGTGCACTCTACTGTCATACACATGAACTGAACATTGAAACAATTTGCATACTTGTTACTTTTGAGAACTGTTGGACAAAGTGTGCTTCAACCAGAAGGCCCATTTAGGCCATAAGGAGAAAATAATCACGATAATGACAATAACATATATACACTCGTACAGCAGTTCTGGTTCTTCTATGAACCAGTCCAAGAATAGGAGACAGGTGCTTATTGTTTCGTGAAAACACATTAACCCAAAACAGGCAACTTCCCTTTAGTTCATCTAGCTCAATGGTTCAAACCTTAACCCAAATCCCAAACTGAAATGTTTAATCTGAGAATCTGGCACATGCTGGGACAGTTTGGACTGGTGTGTAAGAGAACAAAACAAACCCAAACTTAGTTCTACCAGCAATTTCTACAAGCAGTTACACATACCTACAAAAACCAAAACAAAACCTAACGTGTTAAACAATCTCCATATAAATCAGGCGCTCACAAAAGACTGTTATGAAACAAAGAGAGATCACCAACCTGCCAATACTTGCTACAAACAATCAGCACCGTCCTAAGGTTGCCAGGACAACACTTCAGAGTTTGTGCATTGAGACAGCGGATCTGCTTGGACTCATCCTCTGGCACTTTGTTGCCCTGCACAAATTGAACAGAAAAATGAGCAAAGAGTGTCACACAAACTAAATACAGTCTCGCAGGCACACAACGAACTTGTATATTATTGTGAAACACACCCATCGTGAATAGATTTTCAGTTCCCGAATTTTTTCTTACATTGTATAATTCATTCTCTGTATTCAAAATACATATATTATAGTCAAAGTTGCACATTATGCGAAGATTTCTTCGTCTCACCAATTTCGCTATTTGTGTGTTGCACAGTAGACAAATGAACAAAATGTTTTCACATATTATATGAAAGAAAAGGCATGCCTGAGTAGATTTTTTTTTCTCCACTAATTCAACTTTTCCAGATTAAATGCCACATAATCCACTCAAAACCCCCTGCCCAATGCTTCTTTAAAAAAACCCACAAAACATAACAATTCACCTCAAGGAAGGGAAAGAGTAACAGACGGCATTCTTCCATTATACAGGAAAACCTTCACTAGTAATGTCTCCCCTCATTATCCAACTCAACAGTTTGGTTGTGTTTACTGTAAGTATTTTATCAACATCCACACAACTTAAATCAATTAGCAAGCAGATTCTTCTTCCATGCCTGTCTGGGCAAACCCTGGCTGAGAGGGGTACAACATCCCATCAGACAAACAGAGAATACTAGATTTAAACAATTTTCTCCAATTAAGGAACTGAACTATCATCCCCTGCATGCAATGGCTATGAACCTAACTACCACACCACAATTGCCGGTCATACTCGGCACTACACATGATACGGTTTTCATGTGATCTCAAACAACAAAAAGGCCCACACATAGCAACTACACTTGACAATAACTTACAGGCTGAAGCAGGATTAAACATTTTTTTCCTCTGTGGTCAATGGACAAACATGTTAACATCCGCCACAGAAATTACATTCTTTCCTCAATGGTCAGTATAGAATAATGTTGAAATTTTTTACAGTTTGTTAGTTTTTGAGCACTTTTGAAGGGTAATAATATAGGTTAATTAGCATAGAGCTCGCTGTCGAGCCGGGATATGCACTAAATAAATGCTATTTATTATTATTATAATTAAACATCAGCTGCAGTAATAACTTTTTTCCTTCAATGCTCAATGAACAAACATTAAGTGCTGACACAGAAGTGACATTGTTTCCTCTATGGTCAGTTGACAAAAAAGTAAACTGCTGTCATAAAAATCTACCAGCTCATTCACTTACCAAGGACTGCAAATCTCAACTCACCTTGCTTTCTGGCATTGACAAGGTCCAAACTTTGACACTGCCTGAGTTAGTGATGGCCAAAATCACATCATCTGTTGGAAAGAAGAAAGAGGGGAAATGAGAAGTGAACTATTTATGAAGCTCTCACCCCCTCGGCAGCCACTGAGTACCTCTAGGCAGTCATGGCTTCTTTTCTTATTCTCATTTCAACAAATACAGAAATGGAACCTAACAATAACACTTGCATTCTAGATCACCGCACCACCGTTTCGAAAAGTAAAAAAAAAAATTATTATGGAAAATGATTTATGGATCTACGTCCTTGTTGACAAAATTCGACTGTTTCCGAATCAACTCTGCTTGCTTGTCAGTGCAAACACACAGGTGGGATACAGCATATATTAGTAGACAGAGATAGGCTTCTTGATAATTAAATTTCCTCAGACAGAAATCATACTCACACCTCATGCACGCTATAACCATTATATGCACACCACCATTTTTTTTTAAAGGAAAGGTTAATGGTTCTTTGACTCTTGCTCAGTTTTTCTTGCAAAGACATTAAACTTGAGGGAGGAAGCCTCTGTAATAAAACTAGCAAATTGAACAAAAAAGAAAAAAAACACACACACAAAAAAAAGTGCAAACTGCAAAAACCATTTACTGACCATCTCTGCTTGGAGGGGAGAGAACGCAACATGCGCTGACCCAATCTGACTCCACCCGGGCCACCAGGGAGTAAACAATCTCCAGGTTCAGAGGATCAATGATGACCACCTCATCATAGTAACCATTACAGATCAGACGTAAAGCTTTGGACGACTTCAGGTGAAATGCCTGGAGAGGAAATGGTCAAGGTTAAAACAACACAGAAAGTTAGAGGAAAAAGTTAATGGCCATTTAGTGAAGGGCAAAGAATTAAAACAAAGACAGACAGAGGAACAACAAGGAGTAAAACCTACTTGAGGCACCCTCCAATCACCCACATCCTTCTTCACCTTGAGAAGCAAGTTTAGTGAAGCATGACACAAAATCTCAGATTAAATTCCCTTGGACAAATATACTCAATGGGCTTTGCTGTAAACAGATGAGCGTAGCCACAAACAAGCTGCCAGTTTCCACCCACAGTGACACCATAGATTTTACCAATTGAACTGATACCATTTTTCACAAGCTACCAATACCACCTGATCAGTCTTTTGTTTTAGGCTTATTTCTGTTACACAAAACAAAAAGAAAAAAGAAAGAAAGAAAAAAGACAGAAAGAAATCTTACGAGTATGTAAGAGACAGAATGTCTTCTTGGTTAGAAATTCATTAAAAAAAGGAGAATTACTTCATTGATTTCTAAAAGATGGAAATATACCTTAAACAGAAAACTTATCCATTTTATTATGAACATCTTTGAACCTTTCCAAATGCCTAACATGTTTGTGCATACAACAATGTCCGATATTATGAACAGGTTTGTACTTACCACTATGTCTGAGTGTACTTTATCAGTCTTTGTGTTCTCCACACAGCGACCATCACTTACATCCCACAGGCACATTTCTCTGAGGAAAAGAAAGCAAGTTCAGCTTTGCCCTTGAACTAAACGCTCATTTCAACCATTGAGTCCTGCAAAGCAGACCCAGATAATTTAAATTCACTATTAATTGTTACAACCCTTACCCCTCCCCCACCCAAAATACAACAAAAATAAAAGGGAAGTGGAAGTTTGCACTGGATTTTTCTGTTAATATTGATTCTCTTTTAGATTATAAGACGAGTATCTAGTAACATAATTTTTGGTGTGTATTAGATGTCTTCCGTTTGCCAATTATCTAAATTGTCTATTTTTGTTGGGTTTTTTCTTTTCCATTAATTTTTTTCTCACATCACAACAATTTATTAATCTAAGAAATCATTAAGAAACAGTCTTGGTATTTGTTGCCACTCCCCCCCCCCTCCTCAAAAAATCCAAACAAGTGGTATGGTCCTTAGATCTCTAAGTGAACAAAACTAATTCACTGAGTCATCTGGTTCTTTTATTCGATGACATCATCATGGATACAACCAATAAAATCTGACGCAAATGTTCATACTCCAGATAAAAATCACAAGCTACTGAAACTACCCTCACCCCCTCCCCCCTCCCAAGAAAACAACAATAAAAGTCACCAAAGTCCCTAC